CACACCTAAAGGTGTGGGAAAGAGTCTTTTACTTTTACTTTACTGATCTTGAAAGAGACGAGTCGATGCATTCATCCATTGAAATCTGTGCTACTGACCTAAACGAGTATTAAAATTAATGTATATCTACATGCGCATGTACATGCATGCGCATACATCTGTCACGCAGAGTAATTTTAAAATGCCATTGAAAATATGTTATGTGCTCAATTTCTGCAAACATCAGACTGTAAACTGGGAGAACAGGACATGAAGTAAATTTCAGGAACCTGAAAACAAAACAAAAAACATGTGAATAAACTTCTAGTGATTTATACACTATGATCTCTGTTTGGGTTATGGGGTTCCATTTTTAGAGGAAAACCAGACCAGACCCATTGTCCCCTTGCAAGCATGTTGTAAAAGACAACTGATTATCTGACATGTGTTAGGCCAAAAGGTGCAGATATTGCAGCCCAGCTGCAAACCACAACAGAATGTCCCAAAAACCCTTTAAAGGGCAAACATAGAAAAAGAAGATACACAACTAGATTTAATTGTAAATAACTGTCTACTGATGTGAACCTCCCGTGTAGGTTCTGGGGCTCCACTGTGGGGAAAACAAGAATAGACCCACTGCCTCCCCAACAAGCCACCCACTGCCTCCCCAACAAGCCACCCACTGCCTCCCCAACAAGCCACCCACTGCCTCCCCAACAAGCCACCCACTGCCTCCCCAACAAGCCACCCACTGCCTCCCCAACAAGCCACCCACTGCCTTCCCAACAAGCCATGTTGTCTGCCCAAAAAAACCTGCCAATTACTGCTTTTATTATGCTACTTTTGCGGTGAAGGCAGGGGGGTCTTTGAGACTGAGGATTTAAGGCCGCATGGCTTGTGCTGTCACCACGACTGTGCAGGTGAGGATTTTATTTCACCCCAGACAGAATAAAACCCCAGCTTACCGAGGATCGAACCCAGGTCTCCAGCATGAGAGTCCAGCATTCTAGCCATTCGGCCAGCCGCTCCCGTAGCAATGTTGTCAGAGTCATTAACTAGGAGATTCCTTCAAGTTTGGAGTGCATCTACCTCAGAGGCAATGAAGTTACAATCTGCATATAAATAAGCTGATGTGCATGCAAAATTCAGGTTCTGAAACCAGACTAAGGTCCAAAGCTGGATGAACAACCAGAACTTTCTGCCGGTGAACGTAAAGAAGATTTGTTACTAAAATATTTCAGGATCAACCTTCAATGTACCTTCCCAGAGAGAGAAATCAGTGGTGTTGTTTCACAAAGTTTTAAGCCAAGCCTAGAGTTGTATGAGATTAGACATTCTTTCCTCATTAGGCAACTGAATATGTCCCACTGGATGAGCAATCCTGCTCATTATCTATGATTACTGTAGTGGGGATTTCAAATATCAGTGAACAAGCTGAGTAGCTGCTGGTGGGAGAAATATAACTGTGTAACAATGATCAACGCCCATAGAAGAAAATGAATGTGGAAGCTACAATAATAAGGTTCTTTATAATGATATCTTTCAGCTTCATGCTTCAAAGATCTTAGGTTCTTTTAATTCTTTTGTATCTCTCCTTGCCAGCGGTATTCAGATAAGCAGGCCACAGCACTGGCACTGTTTATGTGGCACTGGATAGGACACACAGTAAGAAAACCTGATGATATATAATAAGAATATCCCTGAACTGGAACCCAGACAGCCATAGAAATAAAGGCACAAAAAACACACAGAAAAGATAATTAGAAGCAGAAGAAAAAACCATACTTGAGGGAAGCACTAAGGCAGATGGGCAAATCCCAGTGTGGGTTTGAGATGCTCATTTAGTAGAAAGAAAAAATAGACCCACTCTCTACCAACAAGCACACCTTAAAAGTAAAATGACTAATTCAAAGTGTTTCCTTTGAAGTCAGAGTGCATTTTCCTGAGAGGCAAGGAACCATCAGTCTGCAGTCAAATAAGCCAAATCTGTAAAATGGAAGAGCAAGCCTAAACTCAAGTTCTGGAACAAGACTAAAGTCCAGAAGTAGATAAACAACCAGAACTAAGAAGAACAAGATGGCAAGATGCAAATGGTGATAAAACTGAGAAGATAAACATCAAGAGATGGATGAACACCCAGGATTAAAGAGCAGTGGAGTTCCGTTACAGCCAAGCTTCATTGTGGAGACAAAATCCGACTGATAAATCTCGAGGCAGGGTGGCAAGCACATATCCGGATTAGTTTAAAAAAAAAAACTTCACCCTGCCTCCCAGGTTGACCCAACCTTGAATGGGTACATAGCAGTCCTGGGAAGTAAAGGCAGCCAGCGTGTTGCTGACCACATCACCAAGCAAGTATTGATTGGTCTATAAAATATCGATCTAGCTCTATATGCCCAATAAGCCTAAAGGCATGGAAAAGGGTCCTTCACTCACTTCACACATTACAATGGAATACCGTTCAATTGTTATCTGTGCTGAGAGTCACTGTGGTGTACAGGCAGGCCCGCAGGTCATGGATTCAAATTAAAATCCAGCCGGATACTTTTCAAAAATGACCTCAGCTCCCAGGGCCAACCAGCCTAAAATGGGTACCAGGTAAAGTCCTGGGAGGTAACGGTGGTCAGCCTGTTGTTGATTACATCACCCACCGAGTGCCAATTGGTCTGTTAAGTGTAGGTCTATATACACAATATTCCATTAGACCAAGAGGTGAAGAAAAGACGCTGGCTTTGGAAGGACACACACTGACAAAACCTGAAAACAATATAACTAGAATGTCTTTGCACTGGAACCCACAGGGGAACAGAAATAAAGAAAGACCAAAAAATGCACGGAGGAGGGAGCTTGAGAGTGAAGTTAAAAAGATGGTGAGGACATGAGGGGAGCTGCATGTGAAAGCGAATGATAGAACGACTTGAAGTGAGTTGCTTGAGGGAACATGCTCCACTGTTTGTTAAAAAAGGCAAAAGAGGAAGCAGAAAAATACACACAAAATACAGTTAAGGGTGTGGAAAGGGGTCCTTATTTATTTACCTGTACTGTATTCCTCCACTTCAAAGGGACCTGAGGACCCATCAAAGGATGTGAGGGCACTTGCCAGTTCTTGAGCGAGTCCATTCATAGACAGTGTTGTGAAAAAGTCTGGCTGCTTAGATTTTCTAGAAGCTTCAGAGTCATTTGCTTCAACATCAACACCCACTGATAGCCAAGGCTCCTCGTCCATGCCGAAGTCCACATTAATAATGTCAACATTATCACTGACCACACTGTCTAAAATGACCTGGTCGTCTGAAGAGTCATTTCTTAACTGGCCACTTAGAGTCTTTGCTAATGGTACTGGTGGTGCAATATGCTTCATTCTGTTACCAGTTTCTACCTTCTGTAAACCCTTTGAAGAAATAACTTCACTATTTTCTATAACAGACTGGTTGCTCATATACAGATCTGGCAGAACAGGAAATAACAGCTCTTCAATGTTGTCTGATGAATGCAGTGAAGGATTACTGAAGTTTATTAAACGAACTGTCATCAATTCTTCTTGTGTATTCAAGTCTGCTAGTGTAGATGAAGAGTGTGTCTGTTCTAAATGCTTAAAACTGGGAGCATTTACAGACGGTGCCACATGGTTCTGCTGATGTTCAGTTTTACTTTTGACAATGTTGCTGCTGTTCTTGACTTCATTCAGTTTCATGTCTGTGACCTTAGCATTGTCAACAAAGACAAATGGGCTGGTGTTTGCAAGTCCAGAAAGGTACCCTGGATTTGCTGGAACCTCTTCTGATTCTAGTAAATGCTCTGCATGACTTTCAGCTTTTCTAAGATTTTTCAAAAGGGCTTCAGTAGATGCCTCTAAAGAACTATGATCAATGTGAGTTTCACAATTATTTTCAACAGCAGTGTCTTGACTTTCAACTGTACAAGCTTGATGAAAGTCAAATTCCTGTGAAGTAAATGCAGTCGAATCTATATCCTGGATGTTGTCACTTATTCTGTCTAATGTCAAAAGTTCCTTGGATGAATCTTCTAACAAAGAAATGTCCTGTTTACTGACTGAATATTCAGTAATCACCAAGTTTTCTTTGTCTGAATCAGTTGATGAAACAATTGTTTGTTTGCTTGCTGCATCAGTGGCTAAAGATTCAACATTATCACAGGCATTTACATCATCATTTACCATTTCACGTGATTGCTCAGCCTGTAATAAACTGGCCAATTCTGTACAAAAAGATTTCAAAGATGGCAGATGGAGGATAATTTTCAACAGGTAAATCTATTATTAATTCATCATCATCTTTTGTATCTTTGATCTCCGTTTTCAGGCCACAAGACTCTGCATCACTTCCTAACAAACTGTTGACATCAACATCTGTGTCTGGTGAAACCATGTGTTTCACCGTCTCATCTGCCAGTTGTTGGAACAGTGACGCACTGGGACTGTCCACCAGGAGATTAACTTTGGAATGTTGGGACACTCTTTCAACACACTGCAGAACAGGCACAGCCGGGGGTAGGAGAACTGGTGTAGAGACTGGTGGAATCAGAGGTAAGGGAGACACACAGAGAGGGTCAAATGCCATCGACGATGTAGGAGATGATGACAACTGTTGACATGAAGCACCTTCACTAACCCGGCTGACAGAGAAGATTTTACGAGCTATCTGCTTGGGGAAGTACTGCGGGCTTAGAATGATTTCTGCAGGTGCAGGACACATATCAAGGGCTTCAGAACAGGGCTCAAAATCAGCTGTGGTATCAGAACTATTGTGATTAAAGCCAGAAACTGGTAATGGTGAGTCCAGAGTTGCTTGTGGAGGTAACATGTGAAATGGAAACAGAACTGTTGGCCGCTGTTGGATTTTCCCATCTTCCTTGAGTGGTGAGGAATCAAGCTGATCAATATCAGTAGATATCTTTGATGCAGCATTATCTTCATTGTGGCCTTTTCCTATTATTTCTGTACTGGTATTTTCAGCACTTTGGTTGTCTGTCTTCAGTTCACTATCCTCAACAGGCATCGCATCAATCAATGTAAACGACTCGGTGCTGGAATTAGCTGGCAAATGTCCAACCTGATGCTCATTTTCTGCTTCTTTCTTGGCAATGGCCAGTTCTGCCACTGCCTTCACAGTCAGGCGACTTTTCTCCTCCTCCTTTTGGAGTGCTAGCTGAACATTCCGCTGCTGGAATGTTAATATGTCCCTCAAGAGTCGGGTCTGCTGCTCAACATAGTCTTTAATGCCCTGCAAAATACAGCAACTGTTTTTTGTAGGAATCATACTATTAAATGAGAATTTGTTTTTAAAGTCAGACTTCGACTTTAAAGCAAACAGTGCTAATTAGTTTAATTTTAATCAACTAAATCTATTCCCCACCCCCTCCCATTGGGGCCCCGGAGCCCATCCAGAGAAGAATTAAACAGTAAAATTGAGTGTGCTGGCATCATCATAAAATAGTACAGCCACGCCCTTTGCAGAGCATCAGTTTCATTTCAACTCACCGGAAATATCATTTCTTTGCAAGTTCTGCCTGATGTTTTCTCATGCAAAAAGTTTTTATAATGTTCTATATCCCCTGACCACTGGTTTGTTTATGGTATCTTTCTTCCAGGAACCATACCTTGTGTTTTCTGAGCAACTGTGATATTTAATGTGGCAAATCAAATGTGTAGATTCTAGGAGATATATTCTAGGGGGGGGGGGGGGGGGGGGGGGGAACAAAAATCACTGCCTGCCCAAAAAAAAAAGCATGTAGTAAAAGGCAGCTGAAATTGATGTGTTAAGCTGAAAGGGGCAAACATTGCAGCCTAGACTTAAAGCAAAAGGCAACATGCCATTCAACATATTATGGGTGAAAGACGCATAATATAAAGTGGAACTCCAACATTTGGCCATGTCAATATTTGTTTCTTTCAAAAATGTGTCCTGTTTATCGTAAACATTTTTTTTTCAATGATGATTACAGAAGAAACAAAAACGGATAATGGTAAATATAAGTTCAATCACACTGTTGTTAGTATACAGACTGATCTCTATCACTATCATCAGCATGTGCACTGCTGATTAGTATACGCTGTTTTGCCATCTCACACCACCACCAGAATCAGTTTTATCATTCTCAGGTTTTCTCAATGTGTGTCCTATCCAACAGCAGCATCTTTTCTTTACTTCTTGATTCCCTGAAATTTCAGTTTTTTTTCCAAAGCCCAACGTTATTGATTTCACCATGCCATTTAATTCCCCCCGTTCTTTGCATGTACTAGTCAACGCTTAATGAATATTTGTAGTTTGTTAGTAACTGTTTTAGTTGTTCTCCATGTTTCCGCTCCATACAGCAGTGTAGAGAAGCATAATAGAATGCAATCAGAACATGACTCAGCTTAGCACACAGAAAGAGTGGCTGAGATTAGGTTATCGGCTGAGATTAGGCTATCACCTTCTTTGTCTTCTGTGTTCGTCCTTACAAGAGCAGTAGGCACATTGTATTGTGGTTTAAAACTAGGTTGCGATATCTGCGCCTTTTTGGCATTAATACAATTGATTTCAGCAAACCCTTAATCAGTCACCTTTTATAACATGCTGATTAAGGAGCAGCAGTCAGTCTCCCCTCCCCCTAATTGATGCCATGGAACCCACACAGGTAGGTATGCTCAGAGAAAATTCCCTATACTGGTTTATTTACTGTACTGCCAGCAGTTTCCAATTCAGGAAAACTGTGTAAGAAAACTATGCATCTAAGTCTACTACAACTGAATTTAACACCGAGTTGCATTATATAAACTAACCGGATCTTTCTTTGGATCCTTATCCAGGTCTATCCTTGTAACTGATGTATTGACCCTCATAGCGTGCGACAGGGCCATGAGACCACCAGTTTTGATATCATTGTCTCTAAGATCTATGCGGAGTAACACCATGCTCTCTGCGATGTATTCTGCTAAGGCTACAGCACCTGAAACAAGATGACAGCAAATCTGATGAGAGTAACAGTAAGTTATTACAATCTAAAAGTCAAATAATAACAACAGTAAACACTCCACAACACCCACTGACTACCAGCGTCGCACGTTATGCGACGAGGCGACGTTTACGTTTTGCCGCCAAGGTCGCACCCCTTGCGACTGAAGCTTTGGAAGCCCGCCGTCATGTTAAAATTGCGATTTTTATGACGAATTTAGTTGAAGCATTTAGCTTATTCACTTATGTGTGATTAATTAAGGGAAATAACTTCGTAGTGCTTGAAGTAAATATTTGACGAATTTCCTCAGTTAGCTCCCATGTCGGCGAGACATTGACGCAATTTTCATCATTGCGTCAAATTCTCAGAACCATCCTAGTGGTCATATTTCTAATAATGTTTCTGATGATGCATGTGATTTTCCTAATTTTGCTTCAAAAAGGGAATTTGAAGACACTACTCAACAGTTATGACTATATGACTATGATAAATAAAAAGGATTTCTTAGTTGCCTTTTCTGCAACAATCTGCAGCCAGCCAGATGATGATGAATTCAGACAAAGTAAACCCCATTTTTCCCTTTCAAATGTGTTCATGGTTCAATTGTGTGCAAAAATACTAAATATAATAAATATTTATTGAATATTTCTGAAAATATGATATTTTTGATTAGTCTATACTGTTGTCAGATAAAAGATTTTCAGTTGTCTTTTTTTTTTTTGGAACAATCTACAGCCGCATGATGATGATGATTATTTCAGACAAAGTAAACCCTTTTTGTTTCTTCAAATGTGTTCTCAGTTCAATTTTGTGCAAAAATACAAAATATGGTAAGTGTTTGTTGAATATTTTTTGAAGATATGACATTTTTATAAGTCTATATTGTTGTCAGATAAAAGATTTTTCAGTTGCCTTTTTGCACCAATCTACAGCCACATGATAATGATGCAAAACAGAATAAAGTTCTTTTTTACTCTTGAAATTTGTTCTACATTCAATTTGGTGCAGAAATACAAAATACTGTGAGATTATATCAAATAGTTGTGAAGCTGTGGCATTTTTAGTACACAGTAAAATACGTGGTATCTAAGAGAATGCAAGGGTTAATGGGCTTGGTAGTCTTCTTCTTCTTCACTTCTTCTTTTACCGCTGTGGGTGTCGAGGGAGATATAAGGTTCTGTTTCTAGCTCTTCTGGCTGCCTCGACCATAGGCACATTGTGCTGTTGTAGAGTTTCTCTGATGTTATCCTTCCATCTTGTTCTTGGTCTACCCCGTGCTCTACGTCCTTCTTCTCTTTCAATGTATGCTTTGTATGGTATGGTGTCACAAGGCATTCTCTCTAAGTGGGCAAACCATTTCACCTGCTCTCTTTGTATGTAATCCAGAATTGGTTCTGTGCCGACTTGTACTCTTATGATCTCATTCCTGATCTTATCTCTTATGGTCACTCCTACAGCCCTTCTCAGACATCTCATTTCCGTGGTTACTAATTTTCTTTTATGGTTTGTTGTGAGTGACCATGTCTGGCACTGGTAGCACAGAGTTGGCTTGGTAGTCAGTGGGTTAAAAGTTAAATTAACTTTTTAAAGTTCGAGCAACACTGTGAGTGTTGTCTGAGAAGTTCCAATTTGCCTAAACAACACTGTGAGCGTCGATCGTGTGTCCCGTACATATTGCTTCCCATACGGCTCTGTATATGTTTCTAATGTTCCGAGCTACTTTTTAAGCATTCAGGGAAGGTTACTCTAATGTTGTTTCTTTGTATAGGAGCCTTTATTCTGCCAAGTGTGGTCGCAAACTGATCTCATTCCTTTCTATACTGTGCATTTTGTAATTTGGTGTTCGACGCCATGGATACCAGTGTTCCAACCACAAGTACAGGCCGCATTATGCGTCTTTCTGTGGCCGAAGCTCAGAAATTGTTTCAGTCAGATGTTTTCAATTCTGATAATGATAATGCAAATTTAGATTTTCCTGCAAGTTATTCGGACGGTTAATTTACACCAGTGGCAGCTAAGCAATCAGCTGGTTGGGAATCTAGCGATTTTGATGAGTTGGACACAGAGAATGTTCCATTGCTACTGTATTTAGGGTGTAAGAGAAGGAAAGTGCTATTAACAAATAGACAGTATCATACTATGGCTAAGCTACACCTAAATCATTGCAGATACAGTCTGTATATAACTGTACAAGGTAATTAGTAAATAGCATGTGTGTGTAATGGTAAATTTTTCTGCCATTTATTTCTCTGAAGTTTTGTTCAGCACTTTGTGAGAACAGAGCCTCTGAGTGCTTCATTAATCCATTAATTTATTATAACGTTGGAATATGTTAGGAATTTAAACAAACTTTAAAGTGCTATTCTCAAATTTGGATATTTACTGCTCTTATGGGTGCAAAACCATGGTAAGTGATGCATTGTTTTGTAAAATTTTGTTGTTGTGAAATTAATACCTGATGATTTATTTTTTTCCCTTCTAACCAAAACAGTATTAAACATATAATTATTATCATTTTCAAAATGTACATTTATTTCTCTTTTAAAAAAATGTATACTTTTATAGGGATCAGAAGTATATTACATTCTCTATTGCCCTTTTTTTGGTACACAACTCCCTCTGCCATTTTTGTAATGGGAAATTATTGTGGGCCAAGTCTGTCCATATTTATGGGCCTCAAAGAGTTAACAAATTTATACAAAAAATTGTCACAAATGTAACAATGCTGTAATGCAAAAATTAAAAATTAAAAATAAATCAATCAGAAGACTAGGACTGAAATCAGACATATAGTTTATTAAAGAGCAACAGATGAGACGTTTTGGTCATTTAATGAGAATAACCTGGTATCAACTGCCACAAAGGGGCAATAATAGATGCAACATGGAACGATGACATCAAAAAGAGCCTTTACGAAATCAGACCAACTTATTCAAAGAAACAGCACAAAGAAGATACATCTCCACTAAAATGTCAACAAAGTAAATGAATCAAGGACGGAAAGAAGAGAAGATAATAAATGAAAAAACAATAATAAATAACAACAGTAAGCTAAGTTCAAGAAATTATGGCACTTTTCTTATCCACTCTACTTATTTTCCACATTGAACACAGAACAAGTTTACCTTCATCAGAAATCCTAGTCCCTTGCAGCCCAAGCCGCAGCAATGAACTCACTCGTATCAGTCCATCCTTCAAGAGGTGAACTCCTTCATTGGTGATAGCATTGTGCCCAATATTAAGGGTTTCCATGTTCTGGCTGGATGCCTGTGTTAGCAATAATAAACATAAAATATAACTTATAGTGGAAATGTTCATACAAAATAAGAAAATGATGGTAAACTACCATATTCTGCATTAATGGATCAGAGGTTCAGTTTTATCAGACAAGGGTAAACAAAACAACAACAACACAATTTTTCAGAGGATCTGTCTGCATGATAACAATTCCTCAGCAGTGTGAAATCAGAAAAAGAGCATACACATTCGGCCAAGAGTAAAACAGGCAAAGGACCTTTTTAAAGCCATTGGCGTCTCATGGGTATGATATTTTCACAGACCAACGGGTGCTCAGTGGGTGATGTGGTCAACATCACACAAACTGCCCGTACTTTCCAGGACATTACCTGATCCCCCATTACTGGGTGGGTCGACCTGGAAGGTAAGGTTTTGAAAAAAAAAAAACATCAGAATCAATGTGGATTTTATTTTAACCCCAGACTTTTGGATCAGCAGGCAAGTACAAATAGACAATTGCTCAAACTATCTGTCAAAAAAAACAAAACAAACAAATTGATAAGTATGGTTCTTGTATAGTTAAATCCTCACCACTACTACAGATTATGCGCATTGATTCAAGATTCTCCTTGAGTGATACACGCGCACACACACACACTCACACACAGGAGCTGGGGCCGACTACTTGAATATGGAAGGAAGAGCTGGTGACAGACCAAGTTCCCGTCAGGCAGACCATGACGGGAGTGATGTTCTGCAAAGGAGCTGCTACATCATGATGATGATAATGATATATAGAAGCAAACCACAACATTTATAGAGATGCCCATGTGCAATGAAACACGCAAACAAAGCAACTAGTGGCACCCACTTACAAAATGGTACCAAAAAAAACAAACCTGATGCAATGACTCTGACAGCATCTACACTGTTAAAAATGATGACTTATAAGTCATTCAATTACCTGTTAAAAGAGCCTAAGGATTCATAAATTATCCAGTGTATGGTGATTTAAATTCTGCAGAATAATTATTATACAAACCTGTGGTTTTGGGTGCATTATTAGCAATAGTGGCCAGGGAAAGAGTGCCTGTAGTGGCACAAGATTCTTTTCTAGCCACAACAGGGCGATTCATCTAAGTTTACTCAGGGGCCAACAAGTTGGAAAATGGAGATGGCCGTGGACCAGAGGCCTGAGCCCTAGCATAGAAAGAACAATAGTATAATACAACTGGCAAAGGATCCGAAGGTCACTTGCTAGGCATCGTGTGGGCCAGATTTGACTGTGGGCCACCAGTTGAGTAGCCATACACTGCGGAATTCAGACTGACATTATTCACAAAATGAGTACATTTCAGGTAATGACATCACAGCACTCGGGGCATTCCCATATGCACTCTGTCCCCATCTTCAGCAGCCAGCGCAAAGTTCTAACACTAATGATGACAGTCATAGTCTGGTTGTATGTCTGTCTTGACTTGTCTCTGCGTAGTGTGCCGGCCAAACCCTCTAGTATTTCAGGAAAGAAAGTATGCAAAGAAATGGAGATGGCGCCACATTATGGTGTTGTTATGACTAAGTATAAGTTAATAAGACAGTTACTTATCTGGGCTCCACAGCTCCAGCGGTGTTTTTTTTTTTCAGTCAACAAGGACATTGTAAAATGTGACTGATTAGAGGTTTACTGAAATCGGATGAGCCATTTAAGAATGATCACAGAGGAACAAGTGGGGAAGATGGCATACTTAATGTCCTTATGGTGGTCTCCTGCTTGAAATCATTCCGATCTTAATAAGCTTCATTATACTAGAAACAGTCATAAAAGAATCACTAGAGAATGAAATTACACAGATGAAATGTCAACAATGAAATAATAATAAATCAATGACATCAACAGAAACTTACTAAAGCTCTTCCAAGGACAGACATGGCCTGGTAGTTTATAGAATTATTCCACAGCACTAAAGTCCGCAGCCCAGACCCCTTGTTCTGTTCGGTGAGTCCTTCACAAATATGACTTGTACCAACATCCTAGGGAAAAGAACCATCAAAGTTCAGAATAAACATCCAAATTGGACACATGCTGAAAAAACCATGATAGCAACATAACTAGAATTTCTTTGCATTGGAACTTTTAGAAGAACGTGAAGTTAAAAATGATGAGAAGGACATGGAGTGAGCTGCTTGCATCATGAGGGTCTATGCTCCACTGGAGGATACAGGGCAGGGAAAAAAAAACCAAAAAAATTGGACATTCATACAAATCAGAAACAGATTGAAAGTAAAGAGATCAACTGCATAGCACCAGGTTTCATCCCATATGGCTGTGTCTTACTCTGCAAAATAGCTAGCTGCCAGTTGAGAGTGTGCGAAGCCCTTGCCACTTTTAAAACATATGGGCCGCTCTTTTTTTTTAATTCTTAGGATTCTTCTGTAAAACCACATCTCTGAGGTCTCAAGATAGTGTTTGTCTCGCTTATCAATTGTCCAGGACTCACAACCATGTTAAAACTGGATCTACATGGCAAGCAAATATTTTTCAGTCTTGGAAAACATCACATGTAGCTAAAATAGTGATCAGAGACAATGGCTAAACCTCTTTAGCTACATCTGTTGACATACTTAGTTTGTGGTTGTCCAGTGGTACCTAAAAACGAACCGCTCTACACACACACTTTCAAAGATACAATCATTTTTCATATCTGATTCTCCACATGAACCTAGACTCAAGAAAAGAATCATACTGCGCTGTGAATGCGTGTGTGTTTGCTGTTACTGCATCGCATCTATCTAAAATACAGCGCAGCGATTGGTGTGATGCAGGCTGCACATAAATATTTGCTTGCTAGCGTATCAAAGAAACAAAATCATGAAGAAATGGGAAGTTTACATCTCGTCTGGATTAATAAGACTCAACTGAAAGCAGATAATGTATCTTAAAATATGATCTGTTTAAAAGCTCCAGGTAATTACAAAGATCTACTGCAAAACTTGCTATACACTACCAGTACAAACAACATCGGTGAAGAGTTAAGCTAGCAAAGGATGGTAGTTCTTTTTTTTTTTTAAATTTGATTTTTATTTTTTTTTAATCTGAGATGGGATTAAATGATTTCCCTTTTGATGTAAAGGGAAATTATGTTTCAAGATACTAACTTTCCGAGATGCAATCCACAGTCAGGAACTAATTAAGTTTGAATGTTAAGATACCAATACTTTGCTTCCCTAATAGATCCCAGTTACACAAGGCAATTCCTATTAATAATTTTAAAGTCTGATGACAAACACAGAACAAAAAACAAAATAATATCAATAAATGTCGTCTTCTTTTCCTTCTTCAATTTTCGCCTTTAAAAGGGTGGTTGGCCCATCATGCTGGGGTCACAGCTAGGCTGTGATATCAGTGCTTTTCGACACAACACGTCTGATCTTTGAAAACCTCTGCTTTTTACAGCAAACTTGTTAAAGGCCACAGAAGAGAGGGCAAAAAAAACTATTCTTTTTTAAGAATAATAAGATCCACTGGTAAATAAATTTAAATACATGCAATACATGGCATATAACCGAACTAACCTGAAGATGATTATTGCGGAGATCTAAAAGAGCCAGTTTATGATTGTAATGCAGTAGGTTACCAAGTTGGATCCCATCAGTAGGCAGCAGCTTGTTGTCGGCCAGAAACAGCTCTTGTAGTGTTTCATTCATTTTTAATGCAGCCACTGTGAGTAAACAAAGCAGAAGAACAATATTCATCTATAATAGGCATCTATCTTCTTCTGTTTCAACATATTCATTGTGTATTTTCTTTATGCACAAATAATGGTTTTAGCTCTGATAAAGTGATACAATTAATGAATTAAAGGAAGAGTACACAGCACACAGGAGGCTGTCGTGCTGTCGTGGCTAGATGCTCACCTGTGGATCTGAAAATCAGGGGTTCAAATCCAAACAAAGCTGGACTTTTTCAACAATGACCTTGGCTCCCAGGTCCACCCAGGTCAAACGCCTGAGAAGGTGGCCGGCAAGATGTTGACAGCATCATTTACCAAGTGCCGATTTGTCAAATAAAATATAGGTCTAGCACTATAAGCCCAGTAGGCCTGAAGCAGTGGAAAAGAGTGTTTTACTTTACTTTTACATAGTGCAGCGGATTAGCTTCAGAAGGAAAATATATCACAAATAAATCACATTGAGATAAGTCTGTAAAGGGGAAACAAAATTTAATTAAAACAGGCAGAGGCAAAAGACACTATAACTGCATTGAAGTACTATAATGTGAATAATGTGGTGAACTGGAAAAAAAAATAATAGCAGATGGCATGCTACCAGAAAGGAGATGCAGGGGCTGACCAACATGAAGATGGGCATAGGATACAAGTGGCTTCTTGAATATGTTGAAAGTACATGAGTCGGTACAGCTGACAAGAAGCTGAGTTTCTTTCAAGCAGACCGTGATGGATGAAAGCGACCTTCTGCAAAGGACCTGCCACATGATGATGATGAATGTGTAAACTTTTTATAAGTGCATGCGCTGAAAGATTTGATGTTAAATAAAACAAAATATGTAAGGTTGAGTGAATTTGGAATGAATAGGTGATCCGGTAAGAAAGGATGTATGAGAGAGTGACATTTCACTGGAGCAGCATCGATCGCCATCTTAAAGAATGTGCTGCAGGAGACGGCACATTTATGGTTATGCCCAGTAAGCTATGACTTTAGTTTCTTAAATCAATAATCTCCCTGTGTTGGTGCTGGGGCCCATTAGGGAAATTGGGGGAAGGATAGACCCATTGTCCATCTAACAAGGATGCCATAAGAGGTGACTAATTATGGAGGTTTCCTTCAAAGTCACAGTGCATCTTCCTGAGAGGTGAGGAACCAACAGTCTGCATACAAATAAGCCAGATTTGTAAAATGGATGTGCACACAAAACTCAAGTCCTGGAACAAAACCACAATCCAGAAGTTCACAAACAACCAGAATTGTTTTTACAGCCAGTGAATACGAAGAAGAATGAAAAAATCAGTAAGAGCAATGAATAAAGAAGCACATCATAAAAAAAATACATGAAGCCAAAGATAAACTCTGCCTAATATCTAGGCTGTAATTAGCTGTGAAAGCTTTCTATCGTGTGGGTGTTATGTTATCATTTATTCAGTGACAATAAATGTGTGGCTCATTACCGTTTACTTGTCTTGATATTCTGATCAATACACTGTCAGTTTGAAACATATGTTTCTCAGCAGCAATGCACCACACATCAAGGGCTTAAAATGCTCTAAAAAGTATTTTTTTTTTTATTGGTTCTACACTATACATAGAATATCTTGGACAAAAAAAGGAGAAATACTGACATTGTGAAAGATCTGAAAATCAAGGCTAAGATTGGCTAATAAACAGCATCCTGTCTCGATAGCTGAAATATTTTGATAATATCAAGCGCCATGACATAAAAAATTATAGCAGAAGGCATGCTACCAGGAAAGAGGGACAGGGGCAGACTGACACAAAGATGGGAACAGGATATAAGTGACTCCTTGAGTATGAAAGTACATGAGGTGGGAGAGCTGACGAGAGACTGAGTTTCTTTCAGGCAGACCGTGATGAGAGCGACGTTCTGCAAAGGACTTGCTACATGATGATGACACTATTGGATTGGAACCTTTCTGTCTTTCCAGATGATAGAGTTATATTGCGCAATGAGGAGGCATGGGACTCAGCCTATGTCGATGGCGAGTGTGACCATCCTCTCCATAGCATAAAGCCTGGGCAGTATTGTAGAGACCATATGCTGCCCATGCATCATGATCCCTCTCTCGACCTGCCTTGTTTACTCTAAAGGAAAAGTTGATGACACAATACACATATATCAATGGTAGACATACCTAAAATGATGAGTGGCCTGCCAGACAAGTTCATATTTTCCATGTGAAGAATCGTGAGGTGACAGCCCAGTTTTAATGCCCTCCCAAAGATAGGAATTGTACGTTCATTCAGGTCACAGTTCCTCAAGTCCAGGTAGTTCAACTCTGGTGTCTAAAACAGTATAAACAACAGGCCTGAGAACAAGCAATTCCACACACTCACATATTACGAGATATGCTTGAAAACAATAAGATTACACAAAAACTGTCAACTAAACATTTTGAAAGAATGTTTGATCATGTGGACGGTATAAAATCCATTTTTTATCTCCTTAACTCCTCATGCTTTGTTTTTTTTAGCAAATATAACAATCATACCCGGCCTTCTTAAACCTATGTAGGAGCAAACAGAACCAATGCTATTAATTAGGCTTGACAGGTAAAAGCCAATGCAACAATGCTGATTTAGCTGCATTTACAGGGATCTGTAATGGATCATAATGCCAGATTATCAGTATTCATGCAAAAGGGTCAACAGAGCATAAGCAACTTCACCTGGAAGTCAAACAAGACAAGCACTGATTGTAACTTCCTGAAAACAGTGATCACTGGTGATGAATCTTGAATTTATGAGTACAACCCATAATACAAGGGTGCAGATGTCTTGTGGAGTCTTCACTGAGCCCGAAGAAAGCAGGGGGTAATGCATACTGATCATGCTGACCATTTTCTATGACTGTGGGGTGGGAATCATGAGCAAGCCCAACAAGACCACCATATTACTAAACAGTACTTATCTGGGGGTTATTAATTACCTTTAAGATGATGTGTGACATAAATAATTGCACCTATGGGCAGTAAAAATTCATCAGCTCTTAATGACAATGTACCCACCCACTCTTCACAAATGATTCTCAGCCAAATACCTTATTCTTCTGATTCATCAGGCTCCATACTCTCCCAGCATGGCTTTGTACAATTAGTCTCTCAACAGATATATATATTTATTGTAAGCTACTGTTGAATTATGAATTGACATTACAGCACTCAGGACGTTCGCATAAGTGATCTGGCCCCCATCTCTAGCAGCAAGCATAGAGTTCCAATTCCGATGCACCAGTAACAGTCTGATTGTATATCAGTATCCAGATGGAGAAGTTTAATAGTATGCAGTCACACCCAATAAATGCAAGGTTAGATGATCTAGCATTAGGGCGTCTCAAACGTAGAAGAACTTTTTGCCAAGAGTTTATAGCTGGTGAATGCTATGCAAAAGAAGCAGAGAAGTGCCCACAAACTGTGGAATGACCTCTTCGGATGCGAGTCAATTTCTGTCAAGACATCTTTATTCACCTTTCTATTTGTCCAGTATGTTCAAGCCATTCTTCTATACTCTCATGTCTGCAGCTTCCACATAGGTTCTCACTATAGACAAGAATTTCATCTGAACAGATACTTACCCTTCTCACCAGCCGGGAGCAGGCCTGCCAGCCCCTGGCCTGGATACTTTTGTTGAAAGCAATGTTGAGCTGGTAGCCGGACTCATAGAACTCTATCATGTCAAAGAGGGTCACGGCAGTCTGGAAACACAATAGCATATTCATGAAGAGCTGCAGTAGAAGTAGCATCATCATTATCATCATAGTGCCTTGCTGACTGATGTGGGTGATCATGCCTCTCAACAACCTGCGATTTGCAACTGTGTGTATCAGTTCGTCTGTGGACACCACTCCATGCCATACATGTAAAAAAAAATTAAATAAAAAGGTTGCCAAGAATCTTCTCATGCTGTCTTCCTCTGTCTATCCTTTTATAGATCTTTTTAATGGCTACAACATGTTCCAGTTTTCTTCTTCTCATAACATGACCTAACAAATGACAACTGTCTCTTTTGATGTTTGCGATAAGTTGTCGTCAAGCCTTGGCCTCTTTCAAAACATTTGAGTTGATCGCTTTAGTTGTCTAAGGGATTTTAATTATTTTTCTGCAAAACCACGTCTCCGAGGCTTTAAGAAATTCTTGCCTTGTTTATTAACTGTTCTGGATTGACAGCTGCATGTTCAAACTGGCTTTATATAACATGTGAGATTTCTATTCCTAACCTCTGATGACATGGATTTATTGCATAAAATGGTTTTTTTTTTGGTGTGTGGTAATAGCAGTAGCAGCAGCAGCAATAGCAATATCAGGAGAAACAGCAATAGCAGCATCAATATCAGGAGAAACAGCAATAGCAGCATCAATATCAGGGGAAACAGCAATAGCAGCATCAATATCAGGGGAAACAGCAATAGCAGCATCAATATCAGGAGAAACAGCAATAGCAGCATCAATATCAGGAGAAACAGCAACAGCAGCATCAATATCAGGAAAAACAGCAATAGCAGCAGAAGTATCAGCAGCAGCATTTGTGGAAGTAGTAATATTAATAATAATCCTGCTTAATCCTTGTGAATTATAAATAAGATATACAAATCTATTTTCTGCTCCTTCAGTAAAGATACAGAGAAAGAGAGAGACAGAAAGACAGAGTGAGATACAATTAGAGAAGAGTGAGATGATACATATTTAGCAAGTGCTGAACTGAAAAGCGCAAGAAAGTCTTAAAGAAAAAAGGGCTTAAAGTGGGTGAGAACTATTTATACCAATCAGTAGTTATCCAAAAAACAGGCTGATTACTGAAGGCCTGGCTATTACAGACAGGATCATTATTTCCTTCCAAGTTGCAGCAAAGAACCAGAGGCAAAGAACCAACAGTTTGTACATTAAAAAGCCAGATGTGTATGCAACACCCAAGTCTTGGAACAAGATCAAATCCAGCCTAAGCAAGCAACTAGCAAGGAACCAACAGTCTGCACATTAATAAGCAAGATGTGAAAAACAGATGCCTATGCAACACTAGAACAAGATTAAATATAGATGTGGACAAACAACCAGGACTTTCTGCCAAAAATCACAGCCGGCAAGCATATAATAAGAAAATGGTTTGGAGAATTTGTTGTAACAGAAATTACGGGGCAATGGAGTTCACTAACATCTCACAGATGTTGCAGATCACTACACTCAGAGAAAAGGCAAGATGAGCATATAACAAGATATCGACCGGTACCATCAGTACTGGAACTCTGCGATGTCTGCTGAAGATGGGGACGGAGTGCACAGGGAAATGCCCCCAGTGCTGTAATGTCTATTCTTAACTCAACTTACAGAACAAACAAGCAGGACAGTACAGCCAGCTGACCACCTGTATGTAACAAATTACCTCATCATCAAGATGACTGGCTTCAAAGTCCAGCAGCTTAAACCGCACCCTCTTTAGGATTTCTTCTAAGCACTCACACTGCTTCTGATCAAGTTTCTCTCCTGAAATACACAGAAGCAGAAATATCAATATCTTAAATGCAACACTGGGAGTGGCTGTGGCGGAGCAGCTAGACACCCGCCACGGATCGGAAATTCGTGGGTTCGCTTCCCAGGGAAGCTGTATTTTTTCATAAATGATCCTGGCTCACAGGTCGACCCAGCCTTAAGTAAGTACTGGGTGCAGTCCCAGGAAGTAAAGGCGTCCGGCGTGATTCTGACCACATCACTTATCTTGTGCCGACTGGTCTATACAAATATAGGTCTAGCCCTAAATGCCTAAAGGCGTGGAAAAGGGTCCTTTACTGCACTTTTTTTTAATGCAACATTTACACTGGCAGACACTGTTTTGTGGTTTACAGCTAGGCTGTGATACACCTGCCTTTCAGCAAAAACATGCCCAAGTTCAGCAAACTCCTAATTAGTCGCCTAATTAGCCAACATGCTGGTTAGGAGGCGGTGAGTCTACTCTTCCCCTCCCATCCTGAAATGGGGACTCCGAATCCAGACTAAGAGTCTTTAGGAATTATAATTAAAACTTTTATTGTGAATATACAAAAAATAAATGTACTGACTTTAAACAAACAAGTAAACACCTGTAGAAACAGCTGCAATCAGTTTATTATTTTTCACTAATGGTAAAAACACTGATTCAAGATCTAGCAGAATGGGTGGGTTTTAAACATGACAACAGCAGCATTTTGGACTAAAGATCCACAGAATGGTAAAATGAATTTGCTTTACAAATATTTCACATCAAAATACTGTGCAGGTTACCCAACTCATAAGATTTCAATCTTGTTCCAGAATATGAGTGTTGCGGTTTTACAGACCTGACTAATGCTCATGAAAACTGTTGATTCCTTGCCTCTCAGGCAGATGTATCCCAACCTCAAAAGAAGCCCCCATGTAGTCTACTTTGACGACATGCTTGCAGGGAAGGTGGTGGGGGGGAAGGGGGGGGGGGAGTCTAGTCTTGTTTTTTCCACCATGAGGACCAGAAACTAATGTGGGGATTGCCTATAAACTAAACCACAAACTATCATTAGCCTTTCAATAGTCAAGAACAGTGGTTCCGAAATGGCTAAAACCAGCAGGCGCCTCTTAATTAGTTGTTCCAACGGATCCCATACTTTAAATAGTCCTACTGAGGCACTTATTCATCATCATTATGTGCCGTGCCGGTAAGCATTGGCTGTGATATTTGTCACCTCATACGATCACCAGATCAGGGATCAGTACAGTAATTCTGTCTCGCCCCTATTCATCTGGCCAGGCCATCTAGGTATTGATCTCTTTGCGTCCCTCTTGCTCTCTTTCCATCAATCTTGCCAGTTGTTAAAGTCTGTTTCTTCTCATATTAAGTCCAAAATATACTGACTGTCTAGGTCTAAAAGTTCTAATAAGTTTCAGACTTGTATCTGTCTCGATGAGGACTGCTTCATTTGTTTTTCTATCTGTCCATGACATTCTTTGCATTCTTCTCAGAAACTAAATCTGTCGCAAGTAAATGCTTTTAAACTTGTAAGAACTTATTATAATTTATAAATATGCAAATCCGAAAACAAACAAAAAACTGCACTCTAAAGTTGGGGTTTTTATTTTTCTAATGTATATCACAGACCCTTTAAATTTTTTAAATTATCCCTCCCTATAAGCGGAACTACAACCTCCGCCCCCCCCCCCCTCTCCCATGTTTTCTTTTAATTCCTTTAAACCTAACAATGAGTCCCAATGTTTTTCTTTTCATCCCTATGTAGAGTATAGGACCCTTTTTCACACCTTGCGGCATACTGGGCATTTAGGGCTAGACATATATTTAATCAACCAATCAGCCCTCGGTGGGTGGTGTAGCCAAACACCACGCTGGCTACCTTTACTTCCCAGGACTTTACCTGTCTAAGAGCCAAGGTCACTTTTTTTTTAAATCTGACTCTGTCACGATCTCAACAGACAACCTTTCTATCCACAGGCTAGTGTCTAGCCACTACATCATGGTGCCTCTCTCATCCCTATGACACAGCTAAAATATGTAATCTTTCACTTTTCATCCGTAAACCGAACCACAAATCTTCAACAGTTCCCCCTATTCTCCCCCCCCCCCCCCCACCCCTTTTTTCTTCCAAATTAAACCCATATAAAATTTGTTTATAAATCCACCCCCTATTAACTAATCCACGTAAAAACTACAATTTTGTTTCCTTCTTAAACAAACAAAACACTAATATTCATTTTTGTTTCCTTTTCTTCATATATTTCCAATCTCAAACCTAAAAATGTATAATTCTTTAACAACCCTCTTTCCTGATCAATTTGAAACCACAAAAGTCTATAAGATATCCTTTCCTCCTCTACAGAACCAACAACAAACCCTCAATATTTATGAATTAACCTAAGCTGGAAAAAAACAAGAATATAAAACAGAATGCACATAAGTTGCACAGCAACGTGGCTAGGGAAGGGGAAGGGTCACGTAGTAACTGAGACACTGAGTATAATAAATGCAGCTGTATTTTCTTCTGTGCCAGATATGTGTAGATAAAGAGTTTGAGGTCAAGCAGCACACATCCACACACACACTGCTCTGCTTTTGGTGTTTTACAATACCTGGCTTTCTATTCCCAAATAAAAACATGCAGAGCTGGCTGATATACACATGTTAATAGGTATGTAAACATAGCTGCTAGATTTACAGAGAAGATTAGCATCAAGACCCTACACCAGTTTGTTCTTTAAATTATTCTTCTGCATTAGCCCTGAAAAGGGTGGTTGACTGTGTTGTGGTTTATAGCTTGGCTGTGATATAAATATAGATGGGGGGGGGGGGGGGGGCAAAAAAAAAGGCTGCCTGCAAAGGACATTCATGTGAAAATGTTTCATGTTCATGCTGACAAATGTTTATCCAGTAAAGTGGTGCAAAGATGGGTAAAAATATTTTCTCAAGGACGCTCTAAAATTATTGATAAAGACCGATCTGCTCAACCTGTTAAGATTGCAACTGTGCAGCGAGTGGAGGAGATGATTAGAAGTGACAGGCGAGTAATGGTTGACTCTGTAGCAGCTGCAATAGGGTGCTCACATGGTTCATCATACAACACAATGCATGATCGATTGAAATTCAAGAAAGTTTGCTCAAGATGGATACCCAGACAAATGATGGACAAACACAAAATAAAATGATTAGGCATGTCCTTGCAACATCTCTACTGATATGCAAATGAAGGAGACAACATGAACAGGATTATTACTGGGGACAAATAATGGGTGTATTACTACCAGCCCGAATAAAATCATGCTTCAATGCAATGGAAACATCCTTCTTCGCTTTGTGTTAAAAAATTCATGGTTACGCCATCAGCAGGGAAGGTTATGCTGACAGTGTTCTAGGACTGACAAGTAGCACTTTTAACCAATTTACAAAAAAATAAGGTGACAATGTGAATGCTGATTCACGCTGTAAAGTCCTACTGATGCTTCAAGATACACTTTGAAGAAAATGTCCAGGCCTGGTGACCAGAGGAGTATTGCTCCTTCATGACAATGCCAGACCACACATGGCTCGGTTACCTCAGGAAAAAATTACTCATCTAAAATAGGAACTTCTGGAACATTCCTCTTACAGCCACGACTTAGCCCCTAGCAATTTCCACCTTTTCAGTCTATTGAAACCCCACCTTGGCGGGAGACATTTCACGAATGATGCAGAAGTTGAATGTGAAGTGAAAATGTGGTTTAGAAAACAGAGCACGCAGTTAGTTCTAAGCAGCAGGTTTGGGACGACTGATAAAACGATGGGACAGGTTCATCAATATTTTGTTGACAAAAAAAAGAGACACTGTGTGTGCAAAAATAAATGATTTTTAAGTTGTTTCATCTTTTTATTAACAACCATTTGTAACTTATGTATTGACTTCCCCTCGTGTGTGTATATATGTGTGTATGCATGCATGAATGAATAAATGAATGCATGAATGCATGCATGTAGATGAAGGTAACATCTATTACTGCCATCTCCACAACACAGGACTACTTTCCCTTACAATTATGCTGCAGATATCGCTGCCTAGTTGTAAACTCATATGCAGTGTGCCAACAACAATTTTATGAAGAGAAAGAGGAAGAAGAGGAAGAGAAAGCGGAGGAAGAAGAAGAAGAAAAAGAAGAGGAAGAAGAAGAAAAAGAAGATGTAACATTCACACCTTGAGGGCCTCAATTAAATTTTATAACTGTTTATAGTCCATGTTTCTGACCCTCATAGTAGGATCACCACTGTTTCACATATTTAACACACACAAAAAACAAGCAACATGAGCTTGCTCGTCAGCCAACAACAATATCTGTAATCTGTTTATCATGACCACTTGCTCCTATGACTAACCGCTTTATGGTGTGGCTTATTTACCCAAACAACTTTATACCATTAAGGTGAATATGGTTGATGACCCAGAGATCTCAGGTTTGCATAGATAAGCCACTAATTAACAGTTGTGGAACTGTGAAGAAAGTATGGCACTGTTTCTGACAATAATAAAACATATACAACAGCTTTACATATTATGAAGACGTAGTAGCACTTATTATATCAGCAGTATTTACATTTAATAACTGATAAAACATAAAGTTAACTTTAACACTTGCAAAGCCAATCTTTAGCTGCTAAACCCATTCACCTCTATCTAAGCCACATATGATAAAACTATTTACCTCTAAGTCACATATGTTAAACTTATTTACCTCTAAGTCACATATGTTAAACCTATCCACATCTAAGTCACACAGGTTAAACCCATCCACCTTTAAGTCACACCCATCTATCTCTAAGCCACACATGTTAAACCCATGCACCTCTAAGTCACAAATGTTAAACCTATCCACCTCTAAACCACACATGTTAAACCCATCCATCTCTAAGCCACACGTTAAACCCATCTTCATCTATGTCAAATATGTTAAACCTATCCACCTCTAAGCCACACATGTTAAACCTATCCACCTCTAAGCCACACATGTTAAACCTATCCATCTCTAAGCCATATATGTTAAACCCAACTTCATCTATGTCACATACGTTAAACCAATCCACATCTAAGTCTCACATGTTAAACCCATCCATCTCTAAGCCACACATGTTAAACCTATCCACCCGTAAGTCACTCAAGTTAAGCCCATCCACCTCTAAGTCACACATGTTAAACCCATCCACCTCTAAGTCACACATGTTAAATCTATCCACCTCTAAGCCACACATGTTAAACCTATCCATCTCTAAGCCACACATGTTAAACCCAACTTTATCTATGTCACATATGTTAAACTAATCCACATCTAAGTCACACATGTTAAACCCATCCACCTTTAAGTCACAGCCATCTATCTCTTCTAAGTCACAAATGTTAAACCTATCCACCTCTAAACCACACATGTTAAACCCATCCATCTCTAAGCCACACGTTAAACCCATCTTCATCTATGTTAAATATGTTAAACCGATCCACCTCTAGTCACACATGTTGAACCCATCCATCTCTAAGTCACACCCATCCACCTCTAAACCACACATTAAACCCAAAAACCTACTAAGCCATACATGTTAAACTCGTTCACCTCTAAGTCACACCCATCCACCTCCAAGTCACACCCATTCACCTCCAAGTCACACCCATTCACCTCCAAGTCACACCCATTCACCTCCAAGTCACACCCATTCACCTCCAAGTCACACCCATTCATCTCCAAGTCACACCCATTCACCTCCAATTCACACCCATTCACCTCCAAGTCACACCCATCCACCTCCAAGTCACACCCATTCACCTCCAAGTCACACCCATTCACCTCCAAGTCACACCCATTCACCTCCAAGTCACACCCATTCACCTCCAAGTCACACCCATTCACCTCTAAGCAGACAAGACAATAGAGGTTCTAAACAACCAAAGTCAACAGGAAACCAACAAGTATGTAATAGGGGCAATAATTTCTTGTATTTCCATATCTAAAATAATCTCTTAGTAACACAAGTATGTATGTGACACAATCAATTAACAACAACACAAGTAGATATTTGAAACAACCACTTCAAAAACAAGTACTCACCTTTTAAACTTAGAATCTCTTCACGGCTGTTTGCAGGACTAAATGTCTGTTATGTGTTTTTTTCACAAAAGGAAAAAAGAACATTATTAGATGAGCAAACAAGAGAATATTGAATGAAGGAATCAAGAACTGACATCATTGCTCTCAGAACAATCCCCTCTTGTGCTCCATCCCCTTCTTCAGTAACCAACGAAGAGTCAACATGCTAAAAGTACCAGCTGCAACCTGATTAAAAGTCTGCCTATGTTTTCCCTCACAGCTGAATATCTTCTAGAACCTCTACTCACTTCCTGTTTAATTATCCTTTCAACATGTGGATTTTCTCTTTGTACTACTGCACTGTCCATTTGAACCCTGAAAGCCTTCATCGTAAAGTAGCTCACCACCCAAAGCAGCAGAATCAGCTAATCCATCAGCCAGCTTGTTGCCTCATACACCTGCATAACCTGGACAGAAAATCCATGATTTGCTCCTGATCTGAGTAGTATCAAGTGATGCAAGGTGCTCTGCGTACAGGATGCTAGTGTCAATTTTCCAAAGCTTTCAAAGTGTCCTTTCATCTTATCAATAAAACCATACCTACCCATTCTTCTTACCTATCACTACAGACCCATCTTTATATATAATGATGTCACCTGAGCAGGAATTTTTGTTGATCAGCTCTTACATCGCTGACTCTGTTTTACCAGCTATCCATTACCGGCACCCTTGGTCCAAAGTGACTATTACTCTATACAAGGCTGTTTTGCTGGCTGACACTGTGATCTATTTATCGCCAGGCGCTATTTTGTCACTAGTACAAACATTTCTTATAGTAACTTTTGTCTGTGCCATCCCAGAGCCAACATTTGTTACCTCTTGCTACCTGCTAAGGCCTCATGCAGAATGTGTTCCCTGTTCGTTGTGACATTAAGGCACATTTTTGCCTGTAAAACCTTGTATCCTTCATATATGGACTACACTACAAGTATCTGCAGCATGCACAATTGGTGAATCCTGTGTTAATCCTTTCTTGATGTTAGGGGTTAATGTTGTCATAATCATGTCTAGTGCGAGCATAAAAAGGGGAAAGGACAAAAGACATCCCTGTCGCAAACGTTCTAATATCAAATGAATCTGTTAGCTTTTCCTCATGAAGAACTCAACATTTCCTGTCTTTATATGTTGCTTTTACTAATCTACTGATTTTTTTTGTAGCATCCCATAGTGAGAAATTACCTATCAATGCTATCAAACACTTTTAAATAGTCTATGACCCAAGATATCTATCTCTCCAGTCTGTTTGTATTTCTTTGGTCTTCCAAGCTTTATTGAATAATGTGTGTAGAAATTCTGCTAATGTGTTTATCTTGACCATAATAACTTCTACTGAGATACCAATTGGACCTGCAGTCTTTCCATCCATCAGAAGATGGATAGCTTTCCTAATTTCCTCTTTAGATGGTATCTCACAGTTGACATCCAGTTCCATTTCTAAAAGCTGGATCTGGAGGGACCTCTGAGGTTGGTGGCTTAGAGGTTACCGTATGCAGTTAACAATTTCATGATCCTCGAGTACTGTGGTTCGTTCCCAGTGGCGGATGGGGGAAAACCGCCCACATGGTTTTTCGGACAATGGTGTGAGAATCACACCGTGGAAGAAACTGGGGCCTCACCTCGTAATATTCCCTAAGACAACAGGGGTACACTGTAGTCAACTTTCACTGTGGAGACGGCACATAAAATAAATAAATAATTCAGAAGTACTTAAAAATATTCAGCCCATCTGTCCCTTTGATCTTTAGTGCTGGTGAGTACCTTCCCTTGACTATATCTGACTGATCCCTTTGGTTGATTGCATTTACCTTCTAATTTTCTAATAGTACTGAAAAAGTCACTGATGTTTTCTGTTGCTGCATTTTTCTATGCTTCTTGTGCTAGCTTATCTAAATACAATGGTAAATGTACTTTATCCATTCCTGATTCTTGGACATACACCAAATAAATTTTCCCATTAGAAATAACAGGAAAATGATTCATCTGTCCCCATGGGGAAAAAAAAAAAGGGGGGGGGGGGGAATGGAGGCATTAATGGGGCTCATATAAAATAATGTATACACTCTGGGCATTCTCATGTGTATCTGAGTTCCCTGATTCAGCAGCCATCCTAAGGTACCTGTACTAATTGTTTCCATAATAAGTTAATAATAATGTCTCATATGTCGCCCTAAGAGATGGCACAGATAGGCTTTACTCTAAGATCATGCCATCTGGTTAGCATCTAAGACTCGTCCCTGTCCACCACCAATCAAATCTAGTGGCTAGAATCTCACTCCAAGCCTTTCTCCGGAATCAAAGAACCTCACAGTCAATGCATCAGACTTTTAGAGTTAAAAACACAGTACTCTTGAGGAGTGTTGAGTGGTCACTCCCTGCTACACCATTCTCTTCATTGTTCACTCACTCCCAAAAGGGCAGGCACAACATCTAGCCTGACATACCTCAATTTACCACCAAGTGGTGCAGAACCAGCTAAATGCTGAGGATATATAACCAATCAACAAATTGCAGTACAAGCCTTATATTAAATAATTTTAAAGATCAAGTTTGTAGACTCACTTGCAGCTGTTGTATTAATTTAGCAATGGGCTTTGCTCCATTTATTTCACAACTTTTCTTGTAAGCAGATACCAACTCACTCGTTGTCCATGGACATGCTTTATGAGAACAAATCAATTATTAGAATTTTTTTAATGGCATGAAAAAAGCAGTCATAAAAATGCTGGCACCTTTTTGTTTTTCCATTCAACAGCATTAGATTGCATATTAGGAGGTATGGAAATCTCATTCCATGGCAATGGGGAGCGTGACTAGCAAGTCTCGCTCACATTAACAAACGTTGCCCATACTCAGAGTATAAGATTTCAAGGGCACTGTTGCCACAGCATGTATTTATCCCTAAATATAAATACTCTACATTGCTTTATATATGAAAATGCATAAATTCATGTGTCTCACAACCACCCACTCAATGACACACAACTTATAAAGCAGACACACAATGCCTACATATGTGGACACCAAAGATATTTACAAATAATCAAAACACTTTACGGAATGAATTAAAAAATAGAATTTTAAATCAGAAATATGTTTCAAACTTTTTTTCTTATAAAAATGGTGATAACTGTACTAACTGCCAACACGATTCATTTTAATTTATGGATCTTGTGTGCCTGAATGCTAGGGTAAGGAGCTGAGACAGGATTATGTGTGCTTGCATTCTGTCACATATGGTAGTGAAATACACGAGGCTCTATGTATAAAGATTTCCCAGTCTGTTGCAACTAACATTGATGTAAGGTTCCTAGAAGAAAGTGCATGACTTTGTTGCTCACAGTCAACCATTATGGCAAAAAGATTGCCCTCTATCACAAGCTTTTTATTCAACAGAGAATAACTGACAGGAAAGGTTGCAGCATATGTATGTGTCTAAATGATCATCATCAATTCTCCTTATGCTTAGTGGCACATGAGGCTTCAGATAGGACTTTCCGTGCTTTCCTGTTCTCTGCAATCATCAGTGCATTTTTCCATGTCAGAGATGCCGCATTCAGGTCACTCTCCATCATTCGTCTCCATGTTGTTTTTGGGCGCCCCTTCTTTCTCTTTCCCTCTGAAATCCATGTGAGAGCAGGTAAATGAGGATTCATTCTAATAACGTAGCCAAGCCATTTCCATCTTCTCTTGGTTATCATACTGTCTAGAGTTTTTTGGGTTGTCACTTGAAGTAGTTTAGTGTTTGAGATTGTATACGGCCAGAAAATTTTGACAAATGTACGTAGACATGTGTGGTGGAAGGTGAATAGCTTGTGCACATCTTTTTTGGTCATTCTCCAGAATTCTGCTCCATAAAGAAGTACTGGCAAAATAATGCTGGTGTAGAGTCAGTTTCATTCCTCTGCAGTAACTGTTGGATTTCCAGGTTTGCCTCATCCTTCCAAACTGAAGTAATAATTTATCTATCCATAATCATTAATCTGCTACATTAATTATTTCAGTCCCTAACAGCTGCTACTTCAACACTGGCTATCCCAAAGTCTGTGTACATTAGTGTAACAATCTTTGAGTCTTTACGTTATTAGTAAGCAATAAATGTGACAGCATATTAAATAAGGCATAACAAAAAAGATGAGAGGTAGGTATAGCACGAGGTAGATCAATAACAAGATGGAAAGGTAACATCACAGAACTATGCAACAGTATGATGTGTCTATGATTCAGGTGGCCAGAAAAAAAAAAGCAGAACCCTAAACCTCCTGCAACATCTAAAGGGGAAAAGATGATATCAATAAGTAGACAAAGAATAAATATATGGTGAATAACCTGGCACTGAAAGAGTCAACAGCAATGAATGAGACAATGTGGCACTGGTTGTCTCAACAAACATAAAATATTGCTAGACTTGCAAATCCATTATGGGGGAGTAATCTGACTATACGTTAATGATTTGACTGAGGCATGTCCAGAACTGACCAACCTTCAGAGTAAAGGAATTTATCAGGGCATGTATCTGTTCCTTCTTCTTTTTCTTCTTAGTATTCACCAGCTGTAAACTTCAGCAAAATGTTATGGCTGCATGTTTACTTCTGGATTTAAGTCTTATTCCAGGACCTGATCTTTGCATGCACATATCCAGTTTATAGATCTGGCTTATTTGTATGCAGACCACTGATTCCTTGGCCCTCAGGCAGATGCACGCTGACTTCAGATGAAAAACCCCAAGTAAGTTGCCTTTTACGATAGGTTTCAGCAGATTAAAATATGATATTTACTTTTTTTTTATGTGAAAGTGACAGATAATAGTTCAAAAGGCAAGTTAATGTCAAAAATAATCTAGATGAAGTCACAGGCCACTATACTAATACTCTACAGTCACAAGATTGCTACTAGAAATAGGCTTCTAGAGAAGCTGCAATTTGTTTTGACCTTTGAGATGTCAATGGATAACTTAGCTGATCTGGCTTTACTAAACGAAGCAATTTTAAAATGTCTTACCATTTTTCCATGGGTCTGGTGGTTCCAAATAGCTGGAAATAAGTGAACCCTTTGGAAAGTTGACTCCTTTTTTCTGTCTGCCATATGGCATTTGCACTGTACTGACAGTACCGTCAGTACCATTAAGATTCATGTGCACATTTTCATCAGCAATATTATCACAAACACCAGATTCTGCATCAATACTTCCACCATCCACAACTACATCACTGCTAGAGGCTTCCGCCAAGGTCCTCTTATTTACATCATACAAAAGAACACCTTTCTGCGGCTGCTTCACGTTTGCATCATCGTCGCTATCATCATCATCATCATGATCAACCACCAAGTCGGCAGTGTTGTTATTGTTAGCATGCTCCTTCTGCGTGGACACGCCATTTTCTGTTTTATTATGTATCAGTAACGACTGTATGAAAGTTTTACTAAACGAATGTTGCTTGACACTTGAATCGTCAGCCCTGATCATGCCCCCAAAGCCATTCTTGCACACTGTATCTGTGCCAGCAGCAACAACACTGGACCCACTCCCAACAACAACATCCCGATGGTCATCAGCTGATTTAGCAGACAAATGACTAAAAAACTCTTGAAAAAGACCTAGACTCGCAGCTTCGCCATCAAACTCAGCCATAGTACATTAATTAAACACCAATGCCATTTGTGCAAAACATCAAACAAACCGCCCAGCAATCCATTTTTGTAGTAAACAATCAATTCTAGAGAACAACAACGGCACGAATCTACGACACGGCGACCATTGCTCTTGTACGCCTGCGTCAAATGACTTCCTGTTAGTGTTTTGTGACAGCGTCGCTGATTGGTTGCCGCTTAGTGGCATTGAGATCTATCGTCATCATGTGCCGTGCAGTAAATCATATTTCACCATCTCCAACGATCAGCAGCGGCTCATGTCTAGAGCCGCGCCGTGTTGTGATGCAGTGATATGGCTGTATCAGGCGGCACCGTAAGGACAGCATAAACAGTTAAATAAAAATACAATCTGAACTTTTGATCTGACAGTGCGAGAGCTATTAGGTGCGGCATTTCGTAGACTTGCATCGTACTGAGAAAATCTACCTCACAGGACTGTTCTAGTCTCACCCAATCCACATGGCTGGGACATACAGATATTTATCACTTTTCCTTTTTCTTCTTGTTCTTTTTTCTTTTAAACTTTTAGTCTTGTCAGGTGAGACGAAGCAGTTTCAGGCGTGCATACAAAGGCTCTAATCGTCGCTTACATTTTCCATTGCAAAAGAAAATGCATCATTTTACTATGTATTTTGACTGTTTACTCTTTGGTTGCGAGGAGGCCGCGTTAGCGCAGTCGATAGGAGACTAGCTTTCAAATCCAGCCCACGGCTAGTGTTCGAAACTAGACTGTTACTAGGGTTCACCCAGCCTCTAGGAAATGGGTACCTGAGTTAACACGTTGGGGTAAATGAAGGAGCGTCGCTGTAGCTACAGAGTATCATGCGGACAGCGACACAGGCTGGCATTTTCTTATCAGCTGTCGTACTGGTGGTAGAGCACTTAGGGTGTGCAATGAGGCTGGTTCACATCTCCTGACTTTACTTTCTTGTTATCATTGGTTACAAATAACGAGCACGTAACGCTTGTTAAAAGTGTTAATATAATGATAAAACTCTATCAGCATGCTTACGCTGCCAATAAACAAAACCGTAACGTAGGAAAGCTGCCTATTACCAGTGCTTTAATGCTAGCTGCGTGAGCATTCTCCTAACAGCGAAGTGGCTAGGAAATTGTCACCTGATAATCTCTTAGGTGTAGTCGTTAGATGCCAGCGCTCAGACATACGAATTGACCAGGCTTCCCCACGGACACAAAGTTCAATAGTGATTCCTCTTGTCCTAAAAAAATACTACTGTCTACATTTAATTGCTCTAATCGGTTACAGTTTTCTATTGTCTGGAGGAGGACTGTCTCCTGTTTTCTTCTGTCGTTCTTCCAGCATTCGGAACTAATCATGAAATTCATACAATCTCACTCGAGCGCGAGATCTCGTGACCGCTCACACAGACTGTCCTATCTTCTAGGGGTGTTTTCTATCTATTCACCGCGTAGAGAAAAATGACTGGAATGAACTCCGTGACTAGTTCCTCGCATTCTTCTCAAAAACTACTACTGCTGCTGCTACTACTACTACTACTACTACTACTACTACTACTACTACTACTACTACTACTACTACTACTACTACTACTACTACTACTACTACTACTACTGCTGCTGCTGCTGCTACTACTACTACTACCACTACTACCACTACTACCACTACTACCACTACTACTACTACTACTACTACTACTACTACTACTACTACTACTACTACTACTACTACTACTACTACTACTACTACTACTACTACTAATGTTTTTTCTTCTTTTTCTTCTTCTTTTCTTCTTCTTCTTCTTCTTGTTCTTCCTCTTCTTCCTTTTCCTTCTCCTCCTTTTATGTTTCTTCTTCTTCTAGCTGTAAACGCTGGCTTATTAAATGCAGACTGTTGATTTCTAGCCTCTCTGGCAGATGCGCTCCGACTTCATAGGAAACACCTCTAATTAGTCACCTTGTTTGACATGTTTGTTGGGGTGGGAGGCAGTGAATATTATTTCCCACGTCTTACTTGCCGGAAGGTGGGGGCGGGGGGGATTAAACCTCTGACATGCATGTGGTAAAAGGTTACTAATTATCTGTGTGTTGAAATTACATATGTTATGCAGAAAGGGCTATATATCACAGATAGGCTGTAAACCACCACACAGCAGTGCTGTTTCCCTCGAGGTTTATTGTCAGTAGGATTAACATCACAAGGATGAGAATCAAACACAGAGGAATCATAGAAACCTTGTTCAATTATAGAACACAGTTTTCTTAGTGCACCTATATGTTTACAAAGTAAAGTGCAGTTTAAGGTGTGTGTGTGGGGGGGGGGGGGGGTTGAGCATAATCACAACACAACGTGCCGGCCACACTTTTAAGGGCGATCATAGAACAAGAACCTCCATTGTACATGATAGGAACGAAGCTGCAGCCCGATGACCAGATATAAATAATTTCTTTTTGGATGGGCACAACCTGCCCAGTGCGGTAGGTTTTCTCAGTGTGATACACGTTTTCGAAATGCCACCCCTAACAGCTTCGCGCTGTCAAATCAAAAGTTCATTCATTCAGCATGTGGATTTCGCTATTAATCAACCCCTTACGTTGACGCCTGATACGGCAGCGTCTCTATATCATAACACGGCAGGCCGTGAACACACCCCTGTGTGCTGCCCCCCTCCCTCGGGCAAAATTTACAATTGGTGGACGCACTCCTTCTCCGAAAAAAATAGTTTGCAAGGGGAGAAAGTGCCCCTCAGCCATGTATAGACGTTGTATTCCTAGTTGTTAATACAATGCATATTTATTAGGGATGCACTAGAGAAGCGGTTCCCCAACAGGGGTGTGACGAGCGTATGTGAGGGGTACCGCGGCAATAGTCAAGAATTTTTCAAAACCTGCTTGAGATCAGCGAAGACAGCAGTTTATAACAGAAATACAATGAAGAAAGCCATGAAGAATTCTGGATGCAGTTGTATTTAGAAAATAATGCTATTGGCAAGGTGTATTCTCAACGTAAAAGTAAAGTAAAGTAAAGATCCCTTTACACGCCTTTAGGCGCATCGGGCATATGGGAAAAGCACCCATATTTTTACAGACCAATCGGCACTCGTGGGTAATGTGGTCAGCATTACGCCGGCCGTCTTTAACTTTCCCAGGACAGCCCATCCTGGTACAATTTGAGGCTGGGTTGACCTGCGACGTCCCATACCACGATAAAAATAAACGCAGCCCACGCATTCGCATTCTCAGCGTACGCTTACATTAAACAACATATACAGGAGCAATCTTCAAGTGATTTGATGGTACAAATAATTTAACTTCCCATAAACATAAATGAAACAATGAAAAATTAATCTAGACAAGTTTCGTTTATCGCATTAAAGATAACTGAACATAACATTTGCACTTATTTGTTTCCCTATTTTTCCAAGTTTTCAAACCTCCGTAAACATTTGTGTGCCGGGAAACACTTTGTGCCCCAACAAGGTGTCAGTGCGGGAAAAAATGTATGAGAAACGCTACACTAAAGCGTTACCTCTTAGATTTCCTCAAACTGGATAACAGAATCAAGTTGTCCAGGGTCGCTGATTTCCTCAAGGTGAGATCAGACGTCCGACACCGACTTTATGAGGAATTACTACATTTTATCTGCACTGCTGTGAATTCCAGGTCACTGTGGCTTGGAAGGTAATGAAATAGTGGACAGATTGGCCAGAAGCTGCAGTGACATGGTACAACCAAATAGCGACTTAACCCACCAAAAGATGAAAACATTAATACAATCTAGTATCCAAGAAAGGTGGCTGGATACACACACCATATTTTCTCCCCAAGACTCACTTCATCGCCTCTCTAGAGAGGGACAGTGTATTATATTCAGACTAAGTACAATAGATTTCGTTCACATTTTTCGGTGTAGGAAATACGGAGACGTTTTCCTGCAGCGTGGCACTAGAAAATGCTGAGCATGTGCAACAACGCTGTCAACTGTATGCTGACAACAGAGACGCAATCTGGCCTGTTCCAACCACACTGAAGACAAAACTGTATGGTACACGAGAGGATATGGATTGCACGATAGCTTTCATAAAGGCTACCGGCCTCCTGATATAAGTTTTCTGACAGAAGGATCGAAGAAGAAGAAGAAGAAGAAGAAGAAGAAGAAGAAGAAGAAGAAGAAGAAGAAGAAGAAGAAGAAGAAGAAGAAGAAGAAGAAGAAGAAGAAGAAGAAGAAGAAGAAGAAGAAGAAGAAGAAGACAACATTTTATGAAAAATAGACTTAAAATCAGAAAATAAGAAAATGCAGGCTGGATATATCAGACAATAATGGATTGGGTCACTAAGCACTTCGTGAATTGCTGGCCTAACCTTATTCTTTGTACCAGGTCATGAAAGTAAATCGAAGCAACGAGGGTGCAGATTATCTCGCAGACCCTACAGTTGCTATGGCTGGTATTGTACTAGACAGGGGCGAGGTTATCAATACCACGCGCATCACGTATAGAGTAGACGAATACAACAAAGGGCATGTCACAGTATCCCTGTCCAAAAGGGGATGGCTCCATATACCTGTCTAAACTAATGTACATGGAATGCAGCTTAGCGCTGCAAGAAATGAACTTTTCATCAAAGGGAAAGACGTTTAATGAATCAACACAGAAAAGGCCTCATCAGTTGTTTTACGCTTGTGGAGCTTGGATGAGGAGATTGGAGTACCTATGGGCATGTCCGGAGAGCTGCGATGATAATCCGTATTAATCATATTGCATACTAGTTCAGGTATAATAATTGGGTATACGTAACGCAAATCTCTCCAAACAGAGTTAGCCATGCCTATATACCAACTAGGTCACCTTTGATTGGTAGTTCTTGAGCCTAGTCAACTTCACACAAAGTTACTGGGCTGTTCCGCAATACCGTTGATATCGCGTGTTGTATATTTCAGCGCGCCAGCCCCTACAAGAGTGCTGCAACCTATGTCGCATGCAATCTCTTTTTCAGAATGAAAACGTAAGTGGAAGGCAACACAGAAAGCAAACAATAGAGCAGGACACACCAGTAACCTTCTGCAAAGTCAAACAGCCTAACAAAAGTGTGAATGAAAAGTGACCTAGTGCCTAAACAGGCTAGGCTAACTCTGTTTGGGGAGATTTTCGTAATGTTCACCATTAGGCCTATTGTACTATCCACATTAAAATTCAGCCTAACTGCCAATTACTGCCTTTATTACAGCAGGGGGTCTTTGAGCCTGAGGACTTGTGGCCGCATGGCTAATGCTGTCGCCACGACTGTGCAGGCGGGAATTTTATTTTGCCCCTGACAGAACAAAATCCCGGGTCTCCCATTAAATTCAGCATATAAAATAATAATATTTTTCAATATTTTTTTTTTTATATTTTTGCACAATTAATTAGAGCTTACGCCCTAACAGCGCCCCCTTCCCCCAGAACCTATTGATTTCTCTGTGATGTCGACGCCCCTGGGTGGTGGTGAACTGATTGGTTAACTGGTAACCAATCGATAAACACGACTGTTTCATGATGGCCATGGTGGCAAATTCTGTTTAGTTAAAAAACCGTTCTCTAGTTTAGCAAGAATTTTCTGCCGACCATGGACAATTTCTTCGCCTAGAACATGATGAAGATTCTGGTTAATAACGGGAACTTTTCGTAACAAGACCTCCCTGTCAGGGGACAAGCGCAACCGTTTAGGTGAAGTGTCCTACTGTTAAATGGTTGCCCCGAAAAGTCGTTGGAAGCTGGTTAGTTTCCTGTTTAGGGGGTAACAACTGCTGTGGTGTTAAATGTTTGATTACAATCTGTACTTCAGTCAATATGTTTAAAAGTTTTAAATATTATTGCAACTAGCAAAGTTAAATAGGTTTTGAAAACTGCACTCTAATTAAAGTCCCTACATCAGTTCTAGACGGAAATAGTGATATGTTTTATTATTTTAATTATTTTTCAAATGTTCTTCAAATTAAAGCATAAAATTATATCCCCCCCCCCCCTTTTCTGATTTTTTCTTCAGTTTTTTCTTCTTCTTTTAATCACAGTGGCATTTATAGGTCAGATGGTAGCTGGTGCGAACAATGTCCTGTCACACACCTTCCCCCTCCCCTTTCCCCCTCCGGCCCGTACAGACACCTCACATCCTGTAAATGTCAAAAACACACTTTTTGCCAATCTACCACCCCCTCCCCCCAAGTGATGACACCTGCTGAGGGCCAAACCTCTCCCCCCCCAACCCCCACATATTAGTTCCTACCTGCTTCCTCCTTCTTCATGTGGAGCCCTTGGGGTTGATTGCTCCTCTAGATATCACCTGGTTCCATCGTCTGTTTGGCCTTCTTTTTCCATTTGCTACTACTTCTATGGGTTAATCAATGATGGGATAACACTGTATAATTATGTAGGGTTTGTGTTGCAGGTTGTTTCAACGAATCCACAAGTAAAGTAAGCTGGGGATTCTGGATGTCACTGTCCTTTTGTTGTTGTTGTTGCGTGCTGGTTTTGAAACTAAAGAGTGCATGTCTTTATACAATCAAAGCTGCTTTTGTGCACATATGTTGAATACATGTGTAGGTTTGACATGCATCCTGGTTTGACTGATACTGTTCCTGTCTGACTGGGTTTTTCCTGGTTGGACTGGGGGTTTTCCAGCTTAAAAACACTACCTTGCCCACTTAAATCGGTAGCAAGACATGCATCATATGTTCATAGGTTCTTACCTAGACGCTCAATGAACACAAGATGTGTCGATTTTAAGTCTTTCATAGGAGGGCTGTGTGGTCTCAAGGCATCACGTCCGCCTCAAGTGCTAGAGGTTATCAGTTAAATCCCTGGTAAGAACTGGGACTTTTTCACTTGGACTTCTAGTAATTCCCCCTGGTCTGTGGGTAGTCAGATTGGATGCCAGTATGCATTGTTGCACACTTTAAAAAATCCCTTGGCAGTTGGAAATCAAAAAGAGGAGCCAAACGGCAAAATTTTGGGTTAAAAATTTACCCAAAGTATTTCAGGATCCTTTAACTTTGATTCAAAAGACATGCATTTATTAGTAAATGCATCTTTTTGATGTAGTAGAATACATTTTAAGTCCCCATAGTATTTCTGCCAGTGTTTTACAATCTTCATGAAATAATTTGTCATCAGACAAGTCTCTTCCCCTCCATAGCAGGCTGAAAACTGGTCAGCTGTCTTCTAATGTCTGCAGTAAATGTGGCACTAAGCTCCTGACGAACCAATGGCCCACTCAGTCGCTGATGAATCTATGGGTCCTTGTTTCAACACTTTAACTAATGTAACTTTCTCTTAGTGAAACCCTAGTTTATGAGGAGTCACATATCTATTTAGGAAATGTTGCAGAAAAACATAGGGAAACTGGTATAAATTAAAAAAAAAATTAAGTATTGATTTAAAAAAATGCAAGAGTAGTTTTCATAGTCATAGAAAACCTACATAAGTCAAAAGTAAGGTAAAACTTGCCCCACTTAAAAATATAGTTCTAATGTCAAATCAGTACTGTTGTATGGAACTGAATTATGGAGAACAGCTCAAACAATTAATAATTATCTCTAAAACAATTATTAACTAGTGCTTGTGCAGAATAGAGGAAATGAAATGAAATGAAAGAATCACTAATTTATAGCATTGGCAGAGAACTATAGAAATTCTATTGAAACGAGAGGTGAGGAAAATACATAGGATGTGACATGCGTTGGAAAACCTGATAAGAATATAATTCAGAGCTAGAACTATCAGAGTCAAAGGAATAAAGGTGCGCACGCACACACTCATGCATACACACTTGCACACATACACATACTTAAGGGGACTAGAGTGGTGAAGTTTAAAAATATTAGGCCATCATGGAATGAGCTATAATAAATAGCAAGTCAGGCAGGAAAAGTATTTTAGGCATTATACTTTTGTCAAGAATTGCTCTTCTTCTGCCTTTCTATCCCCCAGTGGAGCATAGGCCCTCAACCAACTCACGCCAAGTCGTTCTATCCTTCGCTATTACATATCCTCCCCATCTTTTTAACTTCATTCTCCAATTCTCTTCTTCATGTGTTTTTTGGCCTTTCTTTATTCCTATACCCATGTGGGTTCTAATGCAGAGACATTCTAGTTACGCTGTTCTCCTGTTTTCTCAGTGTGTGTCCTATCCAACGCCAGCATCTTTTCCTCACCTTTTGGTCCACTGGAGCCTATTTAGTTCTCTTCCAAAGCTCTAAAGAATTACTCTTGATAGTTTAATAAACTTTTGTATGGAATAGAATCATATACATCCAGCAGGCCAGTGAGAAAGTATGTGAAAGTTGAGTTTGTCTAGAAAATCTTGACCATATCAACGGCTCATCAGTCTGATTCATTCATGCTCCTTCCTCTGATGCAGCAGCCATCTCTTTATCTCCATGCTCTACATACCAAGCAGGATAAGAATATAATTTTTCTGTTCAATGGTGAACACAGAAGAAGAAGACAGAGCAGAAGAAGAAGAAGCACACACAGAAGAAGAGGCAGCAGCAGCAGTAGAAGAAGAAGAAGAAGAAGAAGATGATAAATCAGTGTAGTTCTACAGCTTAATGAAGCTAAAGTTCTTCAGCTGTTCAATGTTAACAATGGTATTCAGTTATTTACATACATTTCTTTGCATTAAGAACATTATATACATTTTTCTTATAATAATGATGTAAAATATGCAGGACCCTAAAGGTTTCTTGGAGTTTTGAAGCAGTGAACCATGCAGTACAGAGCACAATCTGTAAATGGTATGTCATATTGTTTATGTTTATTGGCCCTATGTTTTGTGTTTGTTAAAAAAAAATAAAAATTAAGTATCCCTTTCCTGACACAATTACCCCCGCAGTGTGTCCACCTGAATGCCATTTTTAGTAAACATATTCACATCCTGGGGCCGCCATAGTGTAGCGGCTAGAAGCTCGTCTGCGTATCAGAGTATAGTGGGTGTGGGTCCATTCAAAATTGACCTTGGCCCCGGGTCCGAGGAAGTAAAGGCAACCCGTGTGATGTTGAACACATCACCCACCAAGTGCCGATTTGTCTGAAAATATAGGTCTAGCCCAGTATGCTCAAAAACATCTGAAGGCATGGAAAGGGTCCTTCATTTAATTAAAAATTTTTTTTTAAAAATGGTTATATCCTTGCCTTCACTGTGCAGGCACGACCAGAACACAACGTGGTTAACTAGGCTTCTCTGGAATAGGTCATAGCGGAAATGCCAGTTAAGGTGCAATAATGGCATTTAGACACCGGCACAAATATTGGAATCTAGCTTCTTGTGGTGACATAACTAAAGTGGGCATGTGTATCTGGCTGTGGCCAGAACATATTCTGCAGTCATGCCATCAGGAAGACAGAGAAGAGATTCAACAGGTGAATACTAAAATGCACAACAATTTCAAGTGCATGCCATGACTCTACACTGTAGGGCAAAACTGTTTTAAAATCATGCCTTGACTCTATACTAAAGGGCAAAACTGTTTCAAATGCATGCCATGACTCTATACTAAAGTGCAAAACTGTTTCAAATGCATGCCTTGACTCTATACTGAAGAGCAAAACTGTTTCAAATGCATGCCTTGACTCTACACTGAAGGGCAAAACTGTTTCAAATGCATGCCTTGACTCTACACTGTTGGGCAAAACTGTTTCAAATGCATGCCTTGACTCTATACTAAAGTGCAAAACTGTTTCAAATGCATGCCATGACTCTATACTAAAGTGCAAAATTGTTTTAAAATCATGCCTTGACACTACACTATAGGTGCAAAACTGTTTCAAATGCATGCCTTGACTCTACACTATAGGGCAAAAACTGTTTCAAATGCATGCCTTGACTCTATACTAAAGCGCAAAACTGTTTCAAATGCATGCCATGACTCTATACTAAAGTGCAAAATTGTTTTAAAATCATGCCTTGACACTACACTATAGGTGCAAAACTGTTTCAAATGCATGCCTTGACTCTACACTATAGGGCAAAAACTGTTTCAAATGCATACCTTGACTCTACACTATGGGTGCAAAACTGTTTCAAATGCATGCCTTGACTCTACACTATAGGGCAAAAACTGTTTCAAATGCATACCTTGACTCCAAACTTAAGTGCAAAACTGTTTCAAATGCATGCCTTAACTCTACACTATAGGGCAAAACTGTTTCAAATACATGCCTTGACTCTATACTAAAATGCAAAATTGTTTCAAATGCATGCCATGACTCTGTAATAAAGTGCACAACTTTTCAAAGATCATGCTACTAAGTGCAAAACTGTTTTGCTGTCCCTCATACAGGAATCAGACTATCACAGTCACTCTCCAAATCCTTCCGACCTCAAGACTCAGTCCCAGCTGATTCAGTCATTAAAACAGAAAGAAAACTGTGGAATGTTGGGCACATCATTGGCCAGGGTGGCTTTGGTCTTATTTATTTGGGTATGTATTTATCCGATTGTTGTATAAGCCTTTTATGAAATGAAGAATATTTTATGCAATAAATCTATGCCATTGAAGGATAGCAATATAATTTTCACTTGCTATACAGAACAAGGATGGGAAGGTCCTGGGTTCGTTCCTTGGCGGAGCCAGACTTTAAAAAAAAATGTTCTTGACTGCTAGGTTGACCCAGCCTTGAGTGGGAAGTCCCGGAAAGTAAAGGCCGCCGACATGATGCTGAATACATCACCCATCTTGTGTCCATTGGTCTATAAAAATATAGGTCTAGCCCTATATGCCTAAAGGTGTGGAAAAGGGACCTCTACTTTTTTTTAAATGTAGAAACCGTTTTAACATAAGGTTGTGAATCCTAGACAATTAATAAACAAGCTGAACAATATCTTGAGGCATCGTAGATGTGGTTTCACAAAAGAATCCTTAGAATTCCTTGGACAGCTAAGAAGAGCAAACCAGATGTTTTAAAAGAGGCGAGTACTCTGAGACAACTTATCACAAACATCAAAAAGAGGTAGTCAACAAGTTTTGGTCATGTTATGAGAAGAGGAAAAATAGAACATGTTGTGACTACTGGAAAGATCTGTTGAAAGAGAGACAGAGGAAGACAGCAGGAAAAGATTCTTGACGGCCTTATTTGTTATGGCATGGTGGTGTGTACGAACTGATACACGCAGTGGCGAACCGCAGACTGCAGATCACAGATTTGCAGAGAGGCATGATCACCCATGCCAGTCGGCAAGGCACTTGATGATGATGCATTCAGAGTATTATTATTATTGTTGTTGTTGTTTAGCTCCTGCTTTTCTAATTAAAGAATAGGCTTCTTTTTTCTTGTTCACGGGCTGTAATCTCCAGCAGAAAATTCTGGTTCTTCATCTACCTCTAGCCTGCAGTCTTGTTCCAGAACCCAGGTGTTGCATACACATCAGTTTTACAGATCTGACATATTTGTATGCAGACTGTTGGTTCCTTGCTTCTTAGGCAGATGCACTCCAACTCCAGAGGAATCATCCCTAATTAACTGTCTTTGACAGGCAATGTGTCTATTCCCCCCCCCCCCCTTTCCCCATACCCCAACCAACATGAGACCTTATGAGACCTTATGGCTGACATGCCAGTGTCTAGCCACTACACTACTATGGGTTTTAGGTTGCTCAACTTACCTGCTTTTTGTGTGTGTCTTACATGAACTAACAAACGAACAAACTTTATTTTGAAATGGTTACAGATTGTGCCCGCAGGCCTGTCGTACATTTGGCCCTTCTAAACACGTATCGTTCACACAGCAAGTTTATTTTATCAATAAAGCATGTCGTGTTCATGCACAAAATGTATAATATGAAAATCAAGAACAAAATACAAAAGCAAGAATGGTAAATGCAAAAACACACAGCCACTCACTCACTCATGCATTTACTCACTCATGCATTTATTCACTCACATACACTATCATATATAAACAGTCATGTACACTCAGACATACAAAAAACATACACATACTGTTACAAACACATACAATCACACTTAACACATACTCATACATAAAATATTCCCACATGCATGCACTGACATCCACATACATGTACCAGTACTTATGGATACCCATACTTAGACCCATCCTCATACATATATACACATGCACAAACTGATACAAACACATATCTGCTCGTATATACACATACATACATACATACATACATACATACATACATACATACATACATACATACATACATACATACATACATACATACATACATACATACATACATACATACATACATACATACATACATACATACATACATACATACATACATACATACATACATACATACATACATACATACCTACGTACATACATACGTAAGTACATACATACATACACACATACATACACATACACCCACACTCATGGACACACTCATACATTAACATACATGCACCCACACTCACACTCACACCCACACTCATACATGCACCCACTTTCATACCCACACTCATACATCAAACTACATGCACCCACACTCATACATGCACCCACACTTATACCCACACTCATATATAGACATACATGCACCCACACTCATACATATGCACCCACCTTTATACCCACACTCATATATAGACATACAAGCACCCACACTCATACTTGCACCCACACACTCATACATAGACATACATGCACCCACACTCATACATGCACCCACCTTCATACCCACACATACATACATACATACATACATACATACATACATACATACATACATACATACATACATACATACATACATACATACATACATACATACATACATACATACATACATACATACATAGATACATACATACATACATACATACATACATACATACATACATACATACATACATACATACATACATACATACATACATACATACATACATACATACATACATACATACATACACCCACACTCATACATACACATACATGCACCACACCCATACGTAAGCATGCATGTACCCATACTCATGCACACCTCTTTATACACTCACACAACGTAGACTACATTGCAGTTCTTACTGTTCACTAATGCTAAACATGCTTGTGAAATATTCAGGAAGGGAGTATATGACTTTAGTGCTGATTGCCTCCCATCCTTGCAGGGATTTGCTGTGACAATTGTGTAACAATTGTTCAGTGCAAGCTTCATCATAGTGGAAGCCATGGTCCATCTCCCCTTTTAGCCAGACTAATATCTGTTCAGGATACCCCATATTGAAATCAGTAAAAAAAACCTTGCTCAGAATGAAGCTGTTTCTTGGGTCATTAGTGCCTATGCATCAACTGTCCTTCTGCCATGAATCTGTCTCTCTACCACGGGGCTATGTGGTGTGGCTAAGGTATTTAGGTATGGCTGATCTACTCACAGATTATATGACAGATAGCAACTATGATACTTCAACTCCAAACACCTGGCCAGTTCTCTTTTTCTTATGGTCCATGCTGTGTGGCATTGGTGGTCATGTCATATCCACAACCTTCTGTCTCATATACTGACAGTCAGTTCTAACACAGATGATCTTCCATAAAAGATGTCAAACTGTCCAGCTTCTTCTCTCACAGGCTCCTTGTATGTCTTTTAATTTCCAACTTTTCCATCATTACCATGCCCTCCAGTTTTCTCCTTCTCGTGACATGACCAAAGATTGTAGATAGTCTCCTTCTGACGTGGGCAATCAGGTCTCTTGGGCCAGTTAGCATGCAATGTTTATTGCAAAAAGTAACACTCATTGATACATGTTGGGAAAGTCCACTCTTACAATTTCTATGCTAAAATCTCTGACAGTTTGTATGCAATAATCTCTGACAGTTTGTATGCTATAATCTCTGACAGTCTGAATCTCTGACAGTTTGTATGCAATAATCTCTGACAGTTTGTATGCTATAATCTCTGACAGTTTGTATGCTATAATCTCTGACAGTCTGAATCTCTGACAGTTTGTATGCAATAATCTCTGACAGTTTGAATGCTATAATCTCTGACAGTTTGTATGCTCATACTGATGAGGGTGATCCTGCATCACCACTTTTTATAATCTCTGACAGTTTGAATGTGGTGAGGGAAATCCTGCGTCACCACTTGTTATAATGTCTGACTGTTTGTATGCTCATCTTGCATCACCACTTTTTATAATCTCTGACAGTTTGTATGTGTGCTCAAAATGTGTCATCCCTGACTAAAAAGATGTCAAGACTCTTCTCTCATTGTCTTCCTCTGCCTCCTTTTTCCATAAATCTGACTCTGTTATTTATCACAACATTTTATAATTTCTCTCTTGTCATCATCATCAGTTCTCGTTATGCCTAGTGGCACATGAGGCTTCAGAGAGGACTTTCCATGCTTTCCTTCAGTGCAGTTTTCCATGTCAAAGATGCTGCACTCAGGTCACTTTCCATCGTTCGTCTCCATGCTGTTTTTGGGCCCCCCTGTTTTCTCTTTCCCTCTGGTGTCCATGTGAGAGCTGTTTTGGCGGGTACATCAGGATTCATTCTCATAATGGGGCCAAGCCATTTCCATCTTCTCTTGGTTATCATACTGTCTAAAGTTTCTTGGTTTGTGACTTGAAGTAGTTTAGTGTTTGAGATTGTATCTTGTCATGATGTGGTAAAACATCAGATGCACACCTTATTCTGATGTTTGTGAATATCTGTTTTTATCTCTAACCAAATCTGATATAACTCATTTTGCATGTTTACAATTTTTTTTTCTGTTGGCATTTTTCTGTTAAAACTCATCTTTTTGGTCTCAGATGGATTTTATTTCTCATTCATTGACCTAATTGTTCAGGATTCACAGTGCTAATTTTAAGGAAACTTATGCAAGATTCCTGCAATGCATCCTTGACATACACCACAGATAAATGCCTATCATTGACCTGAAGTAAATTGACCTAGAATCTCATTGATGATAGTCAAGACAATTTCCCCTGCTTCTTCTTTTTCTTGTAAGCACTCACTGGCTGTGAACTCTGGCAGAAGATTCAGGTTGCTCATCCATTTCTGGTCTTTGGCCTTGTTCCAGAACTGGAATTTCACATGCACATCCGTTTTACAGATCTAGCTTATTTATATGCAGGCTCTTTATGGTACTCCGACTTCAAAGAAAATACCCTTAATAAGTCACCTTTTAAAAACATGCTTTATTATTGTGGCAGTAGTTTAACCCCCACACCTCTTCCTCCTTTTCCCAAAAGAGGCCATGAAACCCACAAAAAGAAATTACAATTTAATAATGAAGATTTGACAGACACAGTGACAATTTGATAATGAAGATTTGATAGACGCAGTGACAATTAGATCATGAAGATTTGATAGACGCAGTGACAATTTGATAATGAAGATTTGATAGACGCAGTGACAATTTGATAATGAAGATTTAATAGACACAGTGACAATTTGATAATGAAGATTTGATAGACACAGTGACAATTTGATAATGAAGATTTGATAGATGCAATGACAATTGGATATTGAAGATTTGATAGACACAATGATAATTTGATATTGAAGATTTGATAGACACAGTGGCAATTTGATAACTGTAATTGGATAAATCTATGACTTGTTTCAGACAAAACATGCTAATACTGAAATGTAACTATCTTTTTACACAGGTATCATCCTTCCAATGTATGTGCTGCTCAAGTTAGTGGAGCTCGGGCCTTGTGAGCTTTCCTTCTTCACTGGATCCATCTCTATAGCGTACATTGTTTACTCTGTCGTGTTTGCTACCAGTCATATTCAGGCAAGTTTTCTTTTATTATTCATATGTGTTTCAGTAACTTCTTGTCTGTTTGAGTCGCTTTCTTTCTCTCTCTCTCTCTCTCTCTCTCTCTCTATCTTTCTCTCTCTACTGCTCTGTTTATCATTCTAGCCATCTATGCATATATCTTAAACTCTGACTCTACAAGAGCATCATTTTGCCAGTTCTTCTTTATGGAGCGGAATGTTGGAGAATGACCAAAAAGGATGCACACAAGCTGACCACCTTCCACCTCACATGTATGCGTAGAATTATCAAAATTTTCTGGCCAGATACAATCTCAAACACTCAACTGCTTCAAGTCACAAACCAAGAAACTTTAGACAGTATGATAACCAAGAGAAGATGGAAATGGCTAGGCCCCGTTATGAGAATGAATCCTGATATACCTGCCAAAACAGCTCTCACATGGACACCAAAGGAAAAGAGAAAACAGGGGTGCCCAAAAACAACATGGAGACGAACGATGGAAAGTGACCTCAGATCCGCATCTTTGACATGGAAAACTGCACTGAAGATTGCACAGGACAGGAAAGCATGGAAAGTCCTCTATAAAGCCTCATGTGCCACTCGGCATAATGAGAACTGATGATGATGATGTATATATTTGTCGGTCTCTATCAGTTTATCTCTTGTTTCTCTCAACTTCTCTCGCTTCTCATTGTGTGTCTTTTATTTCTGACCTCTTTGTTTCTGTCTCCCTTTTTCTCATCTCCCTATCCTCTACACATTGTCCTCCATCCTTCTCCTGTGTACCTCACTTTATGTCCTTCTTAGAGTTGAGTTGAGTCAAGAATTGACATACAGCACTCGGGGCATTCCCATACACACTCTGTCCCCATCTTCAGCAACCAGCACAGAGTTCCAATACCAATGGTTCAGGTCGTAATCTTGTTATATGTCTGTCTTGCTTTTTCTCTCAGCACACTGAGCCCACTAGACCCTAAGGTTACACCAGGGAACATCATTCTCTTAAAGCCATAAAAATATTATTTCTCCTCTGACTTCATTACTTGTTCCCAAAGAGCCTTGACCACATCTGCCTTGTCATGTATTGTATTACCACCAAGTGGTGTAGATCCAGCCAGTCTATCCACCTGTTCATCTCCTATCACGCCGGCTCAAAGCATCCCTGTCTTCACCTTTCTCAGCATGCTTTCAGAGTTTGTTACAACTATGACATGTGTATGTATCTTGTTCTCTAGTCACCGGAAAGCCGCAGTGACCACCTCCACCTCCATTGTCATGCTATATGCTGTGGTATCACATGCTAAATTTGCCATTACTGTTCGCTACGAACCTCCTGGTACTTTTCTTCACTCTCAAAACAGAGCCATCTGTATAGATAATCAGATCATCTGGGTGAGAATTATCGTGAATCACCTGTTGTACTTTTACCTCCGTAGCACCTGCTGGCCACTCTCTGCACTCTTGACCCAATGTGATCCTAACCCTACACAGGTCAAACTTTCCCGCTGGTACTCTGACCCACTCCTCTCCTCGCCCAATGTTCTTCAGCGTGCATACTTGTCTTATTGTGTCTTCTGCTTGAGCCATCCAGAATTTCACTTTTCAGCCTCTGGCTCCCTACCTCCAGCCAAAGTCCTTCTAAGAATGTTTTACCAGCAGAAATTGTACACCAACTTTTTTCAGTGGTAACTGGGAACACTCAGAACATGCTTCCACACAAAATAATTTCCTCTTACAGCTCTTAAGTAAACGATTTATATGCCAACGGCAACCATATTGGCAGTCTAGTTATACAGTTACAAATCTATCTTTTCTTGATTAGCTATCAAATTGATTTGAAGCTGTTTATAGAATCTTCTAGAACCAGAGTTGAGACAGAGCACATTGGCTGGAAACTTTCCTGTATATTCTTTGGTATTTTTTTCTTTTTTTTCTCAGTTTCACTTCTCTCTCTTTTCCTCTCTGTTCAATCAATCTAATCTAATCTAATCTAATCTAATCTAATCTAATCTAATCTAATCTAATCTAATCTAATCTAATCTAATCTAATCTAATCTAATCTAATCTAACCTAATCTAGTCTAATCTAATCTCATCTCATCTATCTGTCTGTCTATATGTCGGTCTGTCTATCTATCTATATGTCTGTCTGTCTGTCCACCCACCCCTCCATCTGCCAGAATCAGCCCACCTCTTCTCCACTGTGGGTCCCAGGGTCCATTAGAAAAAAATGGGGGGGGGGGGGGGGGGGGGTGTGGGGATAGACCCACTGATGCATGTAAGGGTCATGTCAACTATTAAGAGGTGTTTCTTTCAGTTTCAGATGCAAATGCTGGGAGGTTAGGAACAACAGTCTGCATACCCATAAATCATATCTGTACAATGGATGTGCACACTAGGGCTGCACCGAATATTCGCTTCTTATTCGCTTCGGAGCCGAATAGAGGACCTAATAACTGTTCAGTATTTGGCGGAGTACTTGCGGTCGGACCGAATACGAATAGTGGTTACCTAACACCCGTTTCTGCATACACTGTGATGGACTGAAACAACTCTCTCATTAACCCAATAGTTGCTGTTACCTAATTCTGTCGTAGTGGGGGAAACTGCAACCCAGTTGCGTGGTACAGCAGTTGACAAGGTCTTTGCTTGCTGACTCGACCGAGGCATTACAGCAGAGGTTCTCAAACTGGGTGTGTATGCCGGGGGTGCCGCGGCAAAAATCAAGAAAAGTCGGCTCTAAATTGTGACCTTTTTAAAGAAGGCATGAATATACTTAAAAGTTAAAATTTAAATTGTCTTTCCTCGCCAGTGTCGAAAAAACTAGTTTTTTCTTCTTGTATTACACTCAATAAGAAGAAACTCCACATAGGAGTACTGCAGGAGTCTATCAATCATCAGTAGAAGTAGATTGTGGCGAGGCCAGTAGGCAAGACACCTGATGATGATGATACACTATTCGTATTCGTATTCAGCCGAATAGGTGGTCCCGCTATTCATATTCGGCCGAATATTGAAAATTACTATTCGGTACAGCCCTAGTGTACACTAAGCTCAAGTTCTGGATCAAGAACAAATATGAAGGAGAAGCCAATGTCTCCTTCTCTCTTAATCATGCTCACTGCCAGAGTCAGCATGTCTTTCTTTCTGTCTCACTTATTCTGTTTGTCTATTTCTTTCTCCGTCTTACTCTCTCTCTCTCACCACCCGGCCCTTTTTTCAGAGTGAAAACACCATGTCAGTTTATCATTTATATTGATCTTTAATAGGTGTGTTTTCATGGCACTATCTTAGCACTCACTGGCTCTAAACTCTGGAAGAGAGTTCTGGTTGCTTATCCACTTCTGGATTTTTGCCCTTCCCAGAACTTGAATTTCACTTGAATTTGTTGTAACACCATCCAGCAAAGCGCCAGGCAAACACACCTATTTAAGATCAATTTCTAGCTTTGTGACTCATTACACCAACTGTCCAATCAAACTGCTACCATCTATGCTTTTTTTATTTTGTTAAAACTAGGTATCAACTTGAAGCTGTCGACAGAATCTTCTAGAGACTTGGTCCAGCCAGAGCACATGGACTGTGGAGACTTTCCATTTATCTTAAGTGTCCTGGAGACATTCTTCCCTCAAAGCAGCACCATATGTCCTTCTCTAACCAGTCCCAAGAGTTGCTCGCTTTGCAGATTCTCACGAATATAACCCATTGTTGATGTACGAATTTGAGACTCCACTTTGACTTTATCTTACCAGTTTTAGTAGTTCAAAACTGTTGTTAAATATGTCAGTCACAAACATGGAAATTCATATAAACAGTTGAATGTTGTGAGAATTACAACATTACTTGTTCAATTCTAGTTTCAGCATTGGCATATGTTTAGAATAAGATAACAGTATAAAGTTTATTTGTAATGGAGCAATTTGCATAGGGCAGTTTAACAGTAGCAGATGTATATGTGCTAAACTTCTGGTGGTCACATTTAACATCAATATAGTGAAATCAATAAACAAATTTCAGACACTAACTGATCTAATTTTCTTTTTTTTTACAATATTTGTCGTAACCTGTTATGTCTTACTTTCATTTTCAGTGCTAGTTTTCTAAATTGATATTATCTTGTTCTCTATGTTGATACTCTTGCTTTTTATGTTGATTCTTTGTAGTTCTCCATGTTTACAACTGCCTTGTTTTCTATATTGATACTCTTGCTTGTTATGTTGATACTCTGTAGTTCTCCATGTTGATTCTGGCTTGTTTTCTATGTTGATACTCACTTGTTTCCTATGTTAATGCTCTCATTTTCTGTGTGAATACTTTTTTTTTAAAATTTTGATACTATCTTGTTTCCTATGTTAATACTCATTGTCTAAGTTGAAACCATTTTTTGTGTGTATTTGTGTGGGAGTATGTGTGTGTGTGTGTGTGTTAATTTTCATATGTTATACTTTATTGTTTCCAGTGTCGATACACACTTTTTTATTCACACTCTCATTATTTTTTACTGTTGATACTTTCTTGTTTTCAATGCTGATGCTATGTGTTTACGTATCAACTTTTCAGTTGTAAAATATATGCATTGTTCCTGACGTTTGGTGTTTTCATATTTTACCATTTATCATCCCCCCTCTTCCCCTCCCCCTTTCCCCTGATGTGAGATAGGCCCTCAACTAACTTCTGCCAAGTTGTCCTGCCCTCTACCATTATCTGCAGCTCAATCAACTGACTGACTAACCCACTGGCTGACTGACTGACTGACTGACTAATTAACTAGCTTACCCAATCGCCACTGAAAATAACACTCAAACAGATTGTTTATTTTCTACTGCGGCTTTCTTTTTGTTTCCCCTCTCCAGGATTGTGTTTTTAATACTAACATCTCAAGGATGAGAATCAAACAAGTAGAAATCTGGAACACCTCGCTCAACCGCATAGCCCTATAAATGTAAATATCAAGACAAGATACACAATCGAACAAAAGGTATAAAAGCAAGCTTCACAATATAACAAATACAAACAAAATGTGACCATTGCGGCTATTGAGCCTTCATCAGCACATAAACATGAAACAATACTACGCAGAAACATGAAATCACTTAGCTGGTATCTCGAAGCAGCAATGTCGGTTGTTACTCAGCAGAATGATTACACGCAAATTTAAAGGACCTCTATTCACACTTCCAGGCGTATTAACCCTATAAGGCTAGACCTGTTTTTTTTTTCCTAATACGCCAATAGGCACTCAGTGAGTGATGTGGTCTACATCACACCGGCAGCTTTTACTTCTCAGGATTTTTCGTTTAAGGCTGGGTCGACCTAGCAGTCAAGGTGATTTTTTTTGAAGAAAAAGGCCGGCTTCGTCAGAACCTGAACATACGACATTCTGATCCGCATACGAGCTACTGACAGCTGTACCACGGCGGATCCAGTATATAGACATATTACAAGTTAAATTGGGACACCACAGGGCAGTTACAACGTAACCTGTTATCCATGTGGATATGTTTAGTGACCACCGTTAGTTTGTGTAAATACTCAAGTTCTGGAACAGGGCTGCAGTCCAGAAGTGGGCGAACAGCCAGAACTTTCTGCAAGAGTTTACAGCCGGGGAGCGCGATGAAAAAGAGGAAGAAGTTTTGAAAACTAACCAATTGAAATGTCTTTGCATCTTAAAATGTGGGAAGAATGCAAGAGAGAAAAGAATAGCATTGGTAAACTAAAAATAAATAAAAAATTAGGCTTTTTAACAAATCAAATTACAAGAAGAGCTGCTTTTTCGCATCAGATGGGTTAATCCACTTTCTTAGAGGCGAGAAGGAACGAAATGGGGTTCCTGGTGAGTAAAGGAAAGTTGCAGGAAAAGAGAGACAACGGGGCCTTTGAGAAAAAAAAAAATGGCCCCCAGGTTCGCCTCGGTCTAGCCTTGAGTGAATACCAGGTACAATCTGGGAAAGTAAAGGTCTCCGGCATGATGCTGACTAAATCACCCACCAAATACCCATTGGTCTATAAAATATAAGCATGAATGCGTAGAAACGGGTCCTTTCCTTCACGAGAAAGATGGGGCCAAACATGATGGCCAGTGTCATACAAATTAGGTCAACTTCTTCTTTGTCAGCATTCTAGGACCTTGAGGTTCATTGCTGCAAATATCACACGTCTCAATTTACGCCAATCTTGGAGCCTCACTGGTGCAGCGGATTTAGGTTTGGATGCATGGATCTTTACAATTTATCTTGGTTCTCCCTGTGTGGGTTCTGGGGCCCCATTGTAGGAAAAACAAAAATAGTGCCATGGCATACCCAACACGCATGTCCTAGCAGTCGACTAATTGGAGACCTCCTTTGAAGTCGAAGTGCATCTGCCCGAGGCGCAAGGAACAACCAAAAAGGAGAAGAATGAGAAAAAGAAGAAGAAGATGGAGAAAAATATTAATAAGGAAAGATATAAATTAGTACATCCAATACAGAGTGCTGGCTGGTCAGTTAAAATGTGTGCCAAGCACCATTTGCTTGTCCTAACCCCATAGGATTGCAGGTTACACCTGGCTTTTGTAGTCGTTAACTGGACCCTAATTATAACATTCTACGAGGTTGAAAAGGGTATCTAGAATCTGCCTTGTTGGTCTGTCTTCTAGACTGAGAGTTATAAATCTCATTATTAAAAGGTAAACCTTCACAAATAACACCCAGGAGGGAACAAACTGATCGATTTCTCGACCGACCATTTGCTCTATGCCAGTGTTTCCTAAACTTTTCTTAGTCGCGACGCTTATTTTCAATTAAAATTGTTCCGCGGCGCCCTAACGTAAGTAAAATTATGACTATTTGATTTAAAAAAAAAATCGTGTATCTTCGAATTTTTCGCGGCACCCCTGCGAAGAGGTCGCGGCTCCCTAGGGCGCCGTGGCGCACAGTTTGGGAATCACTGTTCTATACCCTAACGTAGTTGGGGGGGGGGGGGGGGGGGGGGGCATTTTAATTTTTTTTTTCAGACATTCAGTTTTTTTTATCTGAATCCAAACCTATCCTCATAATTTTCGAGAATCTACTTTTTTGTCACCGGACCTAACGAACACGCAGTCTAAAATCTTAGATAAGCAAACAATGTCAGAAAAAGCAGATGACGCTGCACTTGCAATTATTTAATTGTACATAATTTTTCTTGTTAACTTTGCTAAATTCTGGGCTTAGATAAGATCGCACGTTTCTTTTCTCACGGGAACACGTTGGCACTGTATGATTTGCTGAGCCTTGGTATAAATAGATGTACCATTCTTTAGTGCAGCCTGTTGACATCACTCCAGTTACAATGTTGCAATTCATTCTCTCCACCGTTTTCCTCATTGGGTTTGGTAGGTTGTTCGCTTCCGTTAGTTAGACTACATGTGGCAATTAAATATATTACTAATTATGTGTGTTACTGCAAACATAAGCCATTTTGTGTTGATTTTATCATCATCATCATCATCATCATCATCATTTTTCACGTTTACCGCTAAGCGCTGTGGAGAGTACCACTTTATGGTAAAAGTTAAGGTCTCTTGTCCACGCCTTTAGGCGTATTGGGAATATGGGGATTTTTTTCAGACTAATCGGTATTTATTGGGTTATGTGGTCAGCATCACGCCGGCTGCCTTTACTTCCCAGGACTGCATCTGGCACCCACTCAAGGCTGGGTCGACCTGGGAGTCAAGGTCAGTTTTAAAAAAAAAAGTCCGGCTTCATCAGGACGCGATACCACAACATCCAGCTTGAGAATGGAGGTGGAGGCGGTCACTGCAGCTGTCATCTGGCTAGAGAACACGACACACACACACACACACACGTCGTGATTGTAACTGATTCAGAAAGCATGCTGAGGAAGATCAGAACAGGTATGCTTCGTGCAGAGTGGCATGCTTCGCTGCGGAGGACACGAGTGAGGAGTATTGTCTGGATTTTTTTCACCGGGGCATGCCGGTGTGTTGGGAAATGAATAGGCTGACAGACTGGCTATCTCTGCACAACTTGGTGGAATACTGCTACATGATAGGGCAGACGTGGTTAGTGCCTTGTATAAGAGCGTGTACAATTCGTAGTAGCAGATGGATCACCACAGTCTGGTGAAATTGATGCAGTTGGGGGTGACGAGAGGTTCTGGCAGATGCTCGAGGCTCAGAGGAAAGGCAAGAAGGACGTTTAATCAGAAAGCTACCGGCACCATTAGTATCAGATCTCTTCGCTGGCTGCTGAAGATGGGGACGGATGGGAATGCCTCGTGTGCTGTGATGTCGGTTCTTAAATCAAATCAAATCAGGACGCGAACCCACGACCTTCCAATCTGCAGGCGAGCGTCTAGCGGCCAATGCCACGCCGACTCCCACACTACTAAGAATCGGATTGTAGAAAACAAAAACTTCAATCTTAATTAAATGACAAGATAGCTGTTATAGGTCTTGGATGGTTATTAGACATGTCGTCATAACGTGATGATGCTATTGGACTCATCTTCAGCATTGGGGAACCATATGGCCGAGGAAACAAAGATGCCCAAGACAACTCTGCGAAAACGTGGATGAGTCAGGCCAAGATTGATGGACTTGATTGCTTTGACGATATTGAAAAAATCGGACGAGATAGAATGGAAGAGGTGGGTTCCGGGGCTCCATTTTGGGAAAAACAAGAATAGACCCACTGCATGCACAAAAACATTTTGTAAGAGTTAGCTACTTGGAAGCTTCGTTCGAAGTCGTTGTACATCGCCATGAGAGATAAGAACCAACAAATAAGTCAGAAATGTTTAAAAAAAAAAAAAAAAAACACTGATGTGCACGCAACACTCAGGTTCGGATCAAGACTGTCTAGAGATGGACTAACAACCGGAACATTCCTCCGGAGTCTGCAGCCGGTGAAAGCGAAGCAGAAGAAGAAGACTGCGATTCTTGTGCGTTGTTTTATCGGCATGAGGAAGTCAGGATGGTGTGTTGCCAGGGCAATGTCGGATTCAGAATTCGTGAGGCAGCAAGCTAAATGAAATCCGGAGGCTCTTACCATTTTAAATGTCACCAGCTACTCCCACAGAACTGTAAAATATATGCGCCTTTTTGATGTATAGATAATGGAACTATGTTGTTGAATATATGGAGACTGTTTGACTTCAAATCTAGGATGGCCATAGCAATGCAAACATTAAATTACTCGGCTCGCTAGCGTAGTTGGCTAAACCTGACTTTGCGACGACTGGGTGACGAACTCCTTATGGCCCGGGTTCACACCCGGGGGTAGGCAGAAAAGCCACATTTCTCCCAGATTTAACGGTATTTATCATGGAATCAAGGCTGAAGGGTTGCGATATCCACAGTGCCGAGCCAAAAGGTTAAGAACTCATGGTTTTTGGTATTTAAAAAAATAAAAAAAAAATAAAACAATAAAAGTCTCTGGTTAAGCACCAGTAAGGAGATCAAACTTGCAATTGTGAGAGCAGGCATCTTTTCCTTTAGCAACAAACGGATGTGAGTCGTGGACTATCTCTTAGTCCTTAAGAAAGAAAATAGATCTTTGAAGCTGAAATGTTATAGAAAGAATATCAGAATACCACGTGCTAAAAAGAGAAGAAATACTGACATTTTAAAAGATCTGAACATCAAGGAAGATTGGCTAATAAACAGCATCTTGTCTCGCAAGCTAAAATTTTTTAGTCATATCAAGCGCCATAACTGATTGGAACAAATTATAGCAGAAGGCATGGTACCAGAAAGTAGCGGCAGGGGCTGACCAGCAGGAAGATGGGCACACGATATTAGTTATTCTTTGAAAATAAAAGCACACTAGGCGAGAGAGCTGGTGAGAGACGGAGTTTCTTTCTGGTACACCGTAATAAGAGCGACGTTCTATTTAGGACCTGCTAAATGATGATGATGTGTTTTTATCAAAAGAAATAGTACATAATGCATTTGCGAAATCACAGAAATGTGGGTACATTATCCTCTAAAATTTTCTGTTACAAGTGAAAACATCTATTTGCTTGAAAAAAAAAAAAAAAAAAAAAAAAAATCAAAAGAAAAATCGCATTTGTGACAAATCTGGAATTCTTCAAGGCCCTGCTGAAGGTCCTAAACTATAGCAATAGTTTAAGCGTATACCGAAATCTTGCACTGCGACAGGGCTAGTCTAGTCTCGACATTATCTACACATGGGGAGGGAGAGCAGTTGGAGAGTTAATGGTAGTGAGTTTGATGTTGATCAAATCATGTATTTAGTACCCCGATTTAGCTATTAATCACTTGTTGAAAATCGACATGGACAGAACAGTACACCGAGAATTCTCACAGATGCCCCAACCCCCCCCCCCCCCCCCGCTAGTAAATGTAATATGGTGAGCCCGCTGCTCGTTCCAGTAGGTTCTTGCAGATTGGGGTATAATAAACACGCGTGGTGTCTGCACGTTTACAAAAATGTGGTTAAGGTCATTTTTCAGATCGTAATCCTTTCTCGTCCTTTTAAGGATGCAATTTTTCGTTATTTGAAGCCCTACTCTGGCTTTGCCTGGCCATAAATATGGTCTAATGGTTGACTGAACGCGGTTTCCGGGACCTCTCCACGGTGATCCTCACCCACATGGTGGCAGATTGTGTCATGGGTGTTTATCGCTTGTGTGATGTCCTGGTGGGGTAGAAAGCAGTCAGTCTGTAGGTTGAAACTCTAAGGAACAATCGACGTGGCATACAAAGGTATGCTTAGATCGTTATCTAAACAAACATGACAGAGAGCAAGCACAAATTATCATCTCGTATATGTAAGACGTGGTATGTATATAATCCTAAGCTCCAAACAATAGACATGGCATGCATATAATTTCAAAAAAAAAAAAAAAATTTAGATGCTGCATGCATATAATTTTAAGTCACAAACATTAGACGTGACATGGATTTAATTTCGGTCAAAAATATTAGACATAGCATCCATATAATTTTAAGTCACAAACATTAGACGTGGCTCGCATATAGTTTTGAATCACACAATTTTAAACGTGGGTAGCATATAATTTCTACTCACAATCATTAGACATGGCATGCATATAATTTTTAGTCACAAACATTAGACGTGGCAGGCACATAATTTTTAGTCCTAAACATAAGACATTGCATTCATATGATTTCTGCTCACAAACATTAGACATGTTATGCATATAATTTTTAATCCCAAACATAAGACGTGGCAGGCCCATTAAATTAGTCACAAACATAAGACGTGGCATGCATATAATTTTTAGTCCCAAACATTAGACATGGCATGCATATAATCTTTAGTCCCAAGAATTAGACATGGCATGCATATAATTTGTAGTCAATTTTTAGTGGTTTGGGTGTACATTATTGTATTGGGGTGCTCGTTTTAATAAAATAAAAATAAAAATAAAAACACAACAAAAACTTACTTGTGAACGTTGATCTTCGAGGGCTAATGCTCAATGTATAGTGTACAAAGCAACGTATGTTTTTATTATATCTATAAATGCATTTTCAGGATCAGCCCAAACCATCGACGACTGTCCAGCGGGCATCATCAGAGATAAATACCTGACTCTCCATGGAGGAAACTGCTTTGAGTTTCTCGTTGACTGGCCCGCAGACTATAACACTGCATCGGAAGACTGCGGAGCACGAGGAGGAACCTTGGTCCTCGTGAACAACAAAGACATATCTGATTATTTAATCGATCAACTCATCTACGAATACGGTAAGGCCAGCAAAGTATGGATCGGTCTGAATGATAAGGCAAAGGAAGGCACCTACGTCTGGGAAGATGGTACTCCATTGTCTGGCTACAGCAACTGGGCTCCCACACGGAATGGCACCAGTGCTAACCACGACTGTGTCTTCTTTGATGCAAGCAAGCAAGGCTTTTGGGATGAAGACTTCTGCGAAGACCAATTGTTTGGCTTCATCGAGCATAAGCGACCCTACGTCTGCCAGTATAGAGCCAGAAATGGGAGGGCTACTACGACACCACCACCCTTGTAGAATGTTCTGGACTCGTTTGTTCGATTATATTCATCCGATGACAGTTGTTCATTACATCACATTAAATAAAATACGAACGCTGCTGTACTTACATTTAAAAAAAAAACATATTTACAATAAATTAAAAAAAAACATAAAATAAAAAAAAAAAAACTGTACTGTCTGGATTTGTTTTTCCGTTAAGATAGTAATGTGCGGCTACAGATTAAAATATTGGCTGTTTATCCTGCTACAGCAGTGGTTCCTAATATTCCCAGTGCGGCGACCCTTTAATACAGTTTCTCACGCTGTGGCGACCCCCAACCATACAATTATTTACGTTGCTACTTCATAACTTCAATGAAAATGCGTTTTTCGATAGTCTTGTGCGACTAATTTGAAAGGGTCGTTCGACCCAAACAAGAGTCGTGACCCACATGTTGAGAACCACTGTTTACAGGGAACCAACCTCATCATTTGTTTGGCTACATTTGGTTTTACAAGGCAATTTTTCGTTCAGTAGTGTGCAACTGTGGCTGACTGAATGGTTAAAAGCGCAGGGCTATCATTGTGGGAGACCAGGTTTCGAATGCTCAGTGAGGTTTGGAATCTTTTATGTTGGAGGCAAACATTAACTACCAACCTGCAAAGACCGTGGAGACAGTATTAGCCATGCGTCCCTTAATTTCCAGGCTCAAAGACCCCCCACCCCCCCCCCGGCCCCCACCCAACCACCTGCCTACAAAATAAATGGGGTAAATACAAGCTGTAATAGCCGTTCGTCGTTGCCGCTGGACGGACGGCTCTCAATATCCCTTTGAAATCAACCCAAGATGGTCTGCTGCCAAACAGCCTGCAGGTGGAATCGAACCGTGTTTCCAGAAAAAAGGAAACACGTTCACAACGCCTAAGCCACTGACGCCGACTGCAGATTAGGTCCTGAAAACCACCTTCATTAGAGATTCATAGAATGATGTATGGGACAGCCTCTTGTGTACGTTTGTGTGTATTAAATACTTATTTTATAATAAGAGTTGAAAATCGTGGCAATCATTCTTGATGACCCTGTATTGGGACATGACAAAACGATTACAGAATAACATGTAGATCAGTGTGGCTGGCTGTGACCTTTGCTCGTCCTTTTAATACGGTAGTCTCCAACCGTTTTCAGATCCTGAGTATAAGACACACCCTCTCCCCTTTTCCCAAGTCACTTAGACTTCCCCGACTTTGAACTCAGTCGGAGAATGTTGGCTGTTGGTCCACTTCTGGACTTTGATCTTATTCTAGAGCTTCAGTTTTGCGTGCACATCCGTTTTCCAGATCTGGTTAGTTTTTATGCAGACGGTTGAGTCCTTGCTTCTAAAAAAGATGTACACCAAATTAGAAGGATACACCCTATAATTAGTCGTCCTTTACCACAAGCTTTCTAAGAAACAGGAGGTCTATTCCAAATTCCGCCCCCCTTCCCCCATCCAAAAAAAAAAAAAAAAAAAAAAAAAAAAAAAACCGCTGCCACATGAAGGCTTTGAGTGATGTAGACCTGGCAGAGTTGACTCACTGCTTTAACCAGAGCATTAGGACAGCATCAGTGCAGCAGGACTGGGTGCACAGCTATCTAATCCCACTGCCAAAAATTTTGAGGATAATTTAAAGCTCAGTGGCTTTAGAATCATCACCTTACGGAACACATTCGGAAAGATGTTGGAGAAGACAGTTGCTGCAAATCTGCATTTTGGGAAAAGGGGAAGCTTCTCCTAAGAGGTCTAGGAAGCTACAGGCCAGGAAAAGACACAGGGTTCCAGAACAGACAGGAAACTATAACGGCAGCAATGAATCTCGAGGATGCTTGTAACTGAGTAATATATGACATTTTGATGACTTCACTGAAGGAGAAGGTTGGTGAATTGTGTTCAGCTGTCCTGTATTCACGTCGGGTTGCTCTCCGACAAGGCTCATGGACCTCAGAACCATGCAGTTTAGCCCCAGGACTGACACTGGGATCCATCATCTCGCCTGTGCTCTTTAACATGTATAGGAGCAAGATTGCAAGCCTAGAAGCACCAGGAGTTGGAAGGATACTGACTTTTTCAGATGATATACTTGCATTTAGGCAGAGGGGAGACACTGAACAAACAGTCCGGGAGCTTCAAGCGACAGTAGACAAAGTGACTGAGTGGTACAGCAATGAGGGCCGTCCTCCACACGGAAAAGGCCTGTTTTGTGGTGTTTTCTAGACAATAGTATCGTTAAAGCTAATCTCCCAAGATTCACGATAGATGGTAAAAACGTCAACTGAGAGCAAACTGGAGTATCTAGGAATTACATTTGACAAGAGCCTGTCCTTCAATTACCATGTGGAGAGTGTTGTGACAAGATGCCTAAAAGGACTTAGTGTACTTAAGACTATGGCTACAATTGACACAGAGCAGAGAATGCTTTTTACACTATATCAGCACCTGATTCTGTCTGTGGTTGATTATGGCCTCGGACTGCTTACCGTCTCAAAAAGTGTGATGGACAAACTAGAGCTCACATAGAACGCAGTTATGCGGGTCATTCTGTGTTGCACTTGTGGTGTGTACACGATACATCCTTGGTTTGCCAACTGTTGCGGGTAGGCACAAGGTGCTGCAGGTGAAGTCATATCTCAAGGTAGTTGCAGACACAGATCACCCTTTGCAAGAAGCTCTGGGCGCAGTTGAGGGTCAGCGGCTGATAAGAGGGCAGTCATGGATGGCTCAGGCAAAAGACACAATCAGACAGGTTTGCATCCTGGAAAACATCAGGCGAGAAGACGATTGGGTCAAAGTGCCAGCTGATCAGTCAGACTTGTGTAGGGTCATAATCACATTGAGCAGGGAATGCAGAGACTGTCCAGCAGGTGCCACGGAGGTGAAATTCAGCAATTATTTCATGATAATGCTCGCTCAGAGGATTTGACTATTTACAGAGACGGTTCGGTGTCAAGAGGCAAAAGAAGTGCTTGGGGTTTCTTTGCAAAAGTTATTGGTCTACGTTTGGTGCAAGAGAGCCTGGCATATTATACCACAACACCCAGCTTAAGAATGGAGGTGGAGGCGGTTACTGCAGCTTTCCGCTGGCTGGAGAACACGACACAAACATCGTTATTGTAACTGACTCAGAAAGCATGCTGAGACAGGTCAGGACATACATGCTTCGTGCAGAGTGGCGTGCTTTACTGCGGAGGGAGGACATGGGTGAGGAGTATTGTCTGGATTTTGTCTCTGGGATACGCCGATGTATTGGTAAATGAACAGGCGGACAGACCGGCTAGCTCTGCACAACTTGGTGGAATACTGATGTATGATAGGGCCTTATGGGAGAGCGTGTAAAGTTCGGGAGAGCAGATTGATCACAAATGTCTAGTGAGATTGATGCAGCGGGAGTGATATGGGGTTCTGGCCGATACTCGAGGCTCAGAGGAACGGCAAGACGAACTTTTAATCACAATGCTAATAGCACCTTTGGTATTGAAACTCTGCACTGGCTGCTGAAGGGGACCGAGCGCTTATGGGAATGCCCCGAGTGCTGTGATATCGATTCTTGAATCAAATCACACAAATGCGACACATGCAAACTGGAACCGAAGACCTTGCGGCAGACAGGCAAGCGTCCAACCACTATGTGTTCGCTGCTGCCAACTGTGGTATGGTTAGGTAAGTTGCGCATCCCTTACAGGACGTTGCAGAACCAACCCCAACAGCCCCTAGCTGCTGTGTGGTTTTTCTAGGCAAATTTACCTCCAGTAGTTTGCCATTACTTTCTTAACGGTCGGCTTTCTTGATACCACTGTCGAAACCAACGCAAGGCGCATGACCCGCAGCTGTGATTGAACCCGGCATCCCAGCATTACGAAGCGTTCGCATCGACTTGGCCACAGAGCCGACAACTGTGGTATAAACAGTGCATTATTTCCAGTCCAACTCTGGTGTTTTATAAACAGTTTTCTGCGAATACAGGTTTAGATGTGGATCTCACGGTAAGGGAGGTAGACAAGTCCAATACACACTCGCGCGCGC